TTGAAGACATGTGCCAAAAACTGGGCATACGTCATTTAAAAATGGTCCCGTATCGGCCGCAATCAAATATAGCGGAACGGGTCAACAGAAAATATAGTGAAAATTATCCGTAGTTATGTTAAAAATTTTCATAAAAGCTGGGATAACTATGTCAATGAATTTGCTTTCGCCCTTAGGACCGCAAAACATGATACAACGGGAAAAACTCCTGCTGAGTTATTTCTAGGCAGAAAGATTATAACACCGTTAGATAAATTATTTTATGTGCAACAAAGAGCCCCAGAATTTAAAATGGGTGATATAGAAAAACTAATTAAAAGAAGCAAAAAAGAATACTGAAGTAGCACAAGAAAACAAAAATTGTATTATGACTTGAAACGACGGGGAGTAACTTATAAAGTAGGGGATGAAGTACTTAAAAATTAAGCATTCACTTTCTTCAGCACCAGAAGATAAAACTGCCAAATTTTTTCCACGATTTGAAGGACCATATGTTATAGAAAAAATAACTCACGCTGTTGTAGTGTTAAAGGCCAGAAATGGTGAAACCTGTTCCGCAAACATTGATCAAATTAAGCCCTACTTCGATCGTAATAAAATGCAAATCTTTTCAGATCTTTTGCAGGATCCGGCACGGCAGACACAGCAGGTACAAGTTCCAGAGGTGGAAAACGACAAGTACAAGGGCAAGCCAATGAGAGACAGAAGCAAGTGAAAAGAAAATTGCCCCGCGGAAAAATTGAAGGTAAAAAAGAAAAGAAGCCGTTCCACCCACCGTCCAGAAAACAGAGTTCACGAACACCCCCAGAATGAAGAAGGGAGAAGGACGACGTATGTGAAGAGGACCAGGAGAAATGACGGCAACTATAACCCGGCTTTAAAACGGAAGATCGACTCATCCGACAGAACTCTCCGCAGCAAAAGTCGCCGAACTGCGGAAGGGCCATCAGCGGCGGAGGAAAAAGTACAAGAAAATTTGAACGGCCAACAACGAGGTCCAAGCAGGATCACGACAGAAGTTTCCCGGTTCCACCCAAGACCAGCTGCCTTCAAACGGCCAAGACCACAAGCAGAGGAGAAAAGGAAGGTGTTCAAGGGTGGCCGTACTGGTGAAAAACGGAAGCTTCCAGAGGAAAGCACTGAAGGGCGAGCCCGTACAAGAAGGAGGATAAACCAAGCTACTATCTGCAGTACCTTTAAAGACTGGGCCCAGAAAAGGATGTCCGAATATTACAAAGATGAGTAAAATTTTATGTTACTTTGCAAACTTAAGTTAATCTTTCATTCTTACTGCAAGTGGCAGATTTCAAGAAGTTTTACCTCATGCGAGGTCTACCTTTATCGCCAAAAGGGCGAGAAATGAGTTGTGACCGATTTTCGTTATTATGTTTTTAAATTACTCGTGCGTAAAACTAAAGTTGATGTATAATAGCGTTGTGTAAAGACTTAAATATTGTAAAAAGTTATTGTATAAATTTTATTTAAAACATTCTAGCAAGAAAGAAGTTTTAGTCTGAAAGACTTTTTGAAATGTAGTATTATTTCAATGTAGAAAGAATTGGCACTTGCTTTGAAAAGAATAGAAGTTAACAATGTACTACTAATGTATGTTTTCAAATGTGTAAAATTAACGGCATGTTGATATGTTCTTATATACATGTGAACTGTTATTTTAAATGTTAAGAAATACCGTGATATGGTAAAAGTGAAAGTAATGTTAAAAATTTGTTATTCGTGTGACTGTAAAGATTAAATCATGGCGAATATGTGGTAAAGGTTGAATGATGTAGTTAGGCTCTCTGACGCTACACTTTAGAGTTAGCCACTTTTAGAATAGTACCTCAGGGTTTAGAGTTGAAAGTAGGGTGTGTTAAGAGGTCTCGTTATGTTGAATTTTAACACGTTAGTGTTTTGATTGTAGGAGGAAGTGTGGCACACGTAGACAGAAACACATTCGTGTTTGGTGTTTTTACAACACATGTCAGAGAGCACGGGGAGAGATAATTAAAATAGTCATGAATGAAATAAGAATGTTAAGAGAAGTATATTCTATATGTTATTTGCAATGTCATTGTGTAACATTTCATTAAACTAGTTGTCCTTCCAGATCTCTGGAAGGAACCAGATTTGAATAAAGCTCCTGTTTAGATGCAGTATAGATGAAAAAAAAGATTGTTGTATATCCTGGGAGCTGCTATTATAACAAATTTCTTTCTTTTAAATTTTCTAGTTTCTAGCAAAGTTATAATTGTAAAAGGTTGGCCTCGCGTTAGATTCTAGAGCTAAAAGTTTTCAACAAGGTCGTTTTAGACCTCAGTTTCAAACTAATTAACTCTGGCGGGAAGTATGTAAGGATCTTAAGTTTTACTAACGTTTATTTTATTTTAAATCTTTACTATCACTTCTTATTTTCTACTTCCGGCCAGAATTATAAGCGTTAAGGATTTTATGCAAAGTTTGTCTGGCGAACGCCAAGTATTTAAGTGTGGCCTTTTTGCCAAGCAAGAGAGAGGAAGCAGTAAGTCAACGCAGGCCGCTTGCTTACCTTAGAAGTTACGCAGTTGCTGTTCGCCTTCCAGGCCAGAGGTTTTAATCCTCTTGATAAATTAAACGTATTGTAGTGTTCACAGTCTCTGTGCTACATACGCTTCCTGTTATTATAAGGCCAATCTTCCACGTGTATTATTCTAAAGTTAAATTAGAGTTTAGTTTTATTTTTATACTTTTTTACGTTAGACCCCGAGTGGAGGGTCATTGTATTCCGAAGTACGGAAGTCATTGTCTATAGAGAAAAATAAAGGGTTTTGTATACCCTTCGTCTGTATCCTGTCTACTTACTACAATTAGTGAACATAGCTTTAGTAAGCTCTCTGTTCCTAGTCAGGTCCTTGTATGTTCCCGAAGAAGGTTAGAAGAAACATTGAACCTGATATCACAATTTTGTACAATCCCTGTTTTTAATAGTTAAGACATCATTCATTTTCCTATACATGAATATATATTACAAACATTATCTAAATTTTAATATTCTTTTATTTCTTCTAATGATAATAAATTAACTTGCAATCTTAAATGTTGACACATAGGATTTCTAGAGAGCATGTCAGCTTCAACATTAGTAGATCCTTTTTTATATTTTATATCAAAATCATACATAGATAATTTTAAAGACCACCTAAATAGACGACCTGTAGGGTGTTTTATATTTTTAAGCCAAACTAAAGCAGCATGATCAGTATGTACAGTAAAATGGTTACCATGTAAATAATAATAAAATTTATCAATTGCATCAATAATAGATAAACATTCCAGCTCAGTAATGGCATAATTTTATTCATAAGATCTTAATTTTCTAGAATGAAAAGAAATTGGATGTAAACTACCATCAGGATGTTCTTGTTTTAAACAGCACCAACAGCTTCTTTGGATGCATCAACAAATACATGACAGGGATATTTAGGATTAAACAAAGTTAAAATAGGTCTAGAAATCAATGCATCTTTTAATTTTTGAAAAGCTTTTTGACATTCATCAGTTCCAATTATAAGGAGTATCTTTCTTAAGTAAATTAGTTAATGGGGCTCTAATTTTAGCATAATTTTGAATAAATTTATGATAAACATTAATACTTCCTAAAAATCTTTGTAATTCTTTGATATTTTTAGGGGGTTGCAATTTCTTAATAACCTCTATATTTGCATTACTGGGCTGGTATTTACCTGCTTGAATTTCATATCCTAGAAAATTTATTTTTTCTTTAGCAAAATTACATTTAGATTGTTTTAATTTTATATTCTCTTTCTCACATATATCAAATATTATTTTAAGATGATTTAAATGTTCACCAAAATTTTGAGAGAATACTATAATATCATCAAAATAATTTAAAGCAAATTGAATCTGATATTTGTTTAAAATTTGTCTAACAGCTCGTTGGAAAACAGCTGGGGAAATTTTTCCAACCAAAAGGTAATCTAGTAAACTCATACAGTTGAAAATTTGTAGTAAATGCCAATTTTTCAGTATCCTTTTCATTTAATTTTATATGCCAATAGCCTGATGCCAAATCCAATGTAGAAAAGATTTTTGCATTTGTTAATTAATCTAAAACAGCATCAATTCTAGGAATAGGTTCAGAATCAGTTTTAGTAATTTGGTTAAGCTTCCTGAAATCAATACACAATCTGCTTCTGGACTGCTCGTCTCGCTTATAAGCTAAAGTTACAGGAGCAGCATAAGGACTATAAGAAGGTTTAAAAATTCCAGCTTTTAGCAATTCATCTGTTTGTTTTTTAATTTCACTATTATCTTTAGGAGATGCTCTATGTGGTCTATAGGCTATTGGTAATTCAGAAGTTAATATAACTCTGGGAGGTTCAACACTTATACAACCAACATCATATTTATTTTTTGCAAATATATGATTATAATCATTCAACAATTTCTGTAATTTACTATCAGAATTTTTACTATTTTCAAAATAATTACCACAATTTTTAGTACTAAGATCATTTTTACATACAAAATTTTCGCTATTATCAAAATATTTACTAGATTGTTCAGCACTGATATCATTTTTACATACATAATTATTTTGGAAAAACTTGTCTACTTTAACATTTTTACTTACCTGTTTTCCAAGCTGATACACTTCATAATTATAAAAAATTCAATTGTAATTTAAATAATGAAACACATGGTGATGAAAGCAATAAATAATTCAAATTTGAATCTACTACATAAAATATCACATTATTTTCTATTTTACCTACTTTACACTTTACTTTGATTATTTTCTCTATATGAACTTGACTAGATATTGAAAATATTTTATCATGGGATTTCACTGAAATTTCTCTAAATTTATCACCAATTTTGTTAAAAATTTTTAACGGTAAAACGTTAATTTGCGATCCCGTATCAATAATACTGGGAATTTTTTCCTGTCCAATTTGGACATTCACTTTAAAGTAATATCATTTTTTAACTTCTCTTTTTAGGAACCGTGTTAGAGTTAATAGCAGGTAATTGTGGATATCGAATTGGCCGATACACATACTGTAGAGGTCGGTATTGCACTTGTTGATAATTAAAAGGTCTCACACTACGAAAACTTTGATAAGGAGTGGCTTGCACTGGTCTGGGATAATAGCACCTCGGAACAGTTTGCCTTGGAGAAACAAATTGGTAATTACTATTTCCTAGACCATCCAACGGCATCTGAACTGGAAACAGTTTCCTAGCAAGAGTAATCCAGTCTTTCGGTGTGTCTATTTTTTGCACTGTTAACACAGCATTCTTTGAGACTCAGGAAGTCCTTCCGTAAGTGCTTCCACCATTGTGGAATCTGTTAGTTTCAAGCTGGCTCCTAATTTCAACTTATTACGAAAATAAACATCAATATTATTAAATTTCTCGTATTTTAAAGACACAAAATCACTAAAAGTAACAGATTCCGATGTTGTGAAGTATGTCTCGAAAATATCCTTGATGTTGTTCCAGTCTTTATCTAAACAATCACGTAAATAGAGGGCTAAAGCCTCTCCTCTAATACACTCTGAGAAAACAAATTTCTTTTCCTTTTCTGGAATGTTCTTTGTGGCACATTTCTCTTCAAACAATAGAAGATATTTGTCTATTGGAAAATTTGTACTTGTGCCGTCAAAAATAGGGAATTGAAATTTCACTGTATCCACAATAGCTACGGATTCTTGCTTATCAGTTGACATTTTTGCCGTTTTTGAGCGTGTTAGCATTCCAATCACAAAATCTTGAATTTAAGAGTTCGCATACACATCAATTTGAACACTAAAATCAATCACTTTAGAAGCACTTGATAAAACGCATAACTTTGGAGACGAGGGAAAGCACTTAATAATCGCCGGAAAAGAAGCAAAAGCATCAGATGATCACACACTGTCCTTGACCCACTGTTGAATTTAGAAGCGCGTTAGAAATAAATCCAGGAGCTTTTTTCCAACGTAGAGGAAATATCCTACCGACTAATTAATAACTGTAATGTTTTCAGTTATTCCAACACATCGTGGGCGAATGGTGAGGCTATTCCATTACACGTTCTGGCAGATGGTTGACGAAGCTGGGATGATTGAAGCATGGAGAAAAATGACGACTCAGGACTTTTCACTTTAACAGCAAGCATATCTTTATTTTAATTTACAGCAGATGTAACTTTTTCCAGATGAATTTAATCAAAGAACTTATTCAGTAATTGAACTATTAGATACGACTGACTTTAAACTTTAATACGTCATAACGTTCTAACAAAGAAAAGAGGAGCACAGCGGAAGCGTTAGCAGGACGAAGGCGAGAAGACATCTGTGTAGGAGAACTTATGACGCAGCATTTATATGAAAGGTTATGTAACAGAGTAGCTTCTAGAAAAATGTAGAAAAACTTACGACGCAGCATTCATATGAAGAGGTTATGTAATAGGTGCGAATATTCTAGAAGGTACTGGGTTAGGGGACGATCCTGAATTGCAGAAAATTAATTAAAGGTTGCTGGTTCGCAAAGAGCAAAGCCATCATATTTTTTTTTTATATTTTACTTGTGTAACATATGTTTTGGCCTGTGGGCAGTGTTGAAGTTGTGCAGATGTCAAATTCATGCAATTATCTGATTGCTTTTTTAAGCAAAAATAGATCGCTGTGTACACGGGAAGAACAACAGTGCAAAATAATAGTAATAATCAGGATTTTTTGAAAAAAGTATTTCTTCCTTTTTAAATTTTATTTGCTCCTGTGTAAAATTCTTATTTCACCACTATTTTGAAAATGGCTGTTGCCTTTCATGTATATGCTTGATGAAAAATTAGTCACCAACTAGTTCATGAATGTTCTCAAAAGTCACCGACGAGTTTGCAACCTTTCAGTAGGGGTGTGGATAATCAGAAGCAATTGAAAATATTAAACCAGAAAAAAGGCTGTTCCTTTCCGTGATTAATGTTCAATTAAATGATATTTAACATCAAATGCAAAACTAACATGAAGATTAAGTTATGCAGTTGATATGTCAAACTAGCTTAGTGTACTGAAGAGCTGAGTTATAACTGGGAAGGTATAGTAGTATAATACTAGGAGGGCATTGGAGAAGTCAGAGAAGAGATGGTGTATTATCCTTAGCATAAACTATTGAAAACATTATATGGAATTTCATAGTTGGTAAACTTTGATGGAATTCAGCTGGAAAAAAAAATCATTTATTCCTTTTGAATTTCAATTAATCATTTACAATAGAAAGCTGTTTGCGTTATTTTAATAAGCTTTTATTTAGTTCACTCATGGTATTTTTCGTTGTGGTCAAAAGTTTAATTTTTCCAAAATTGTATTTAATTTTTTTAAATTTAATATATAATGAACAAACTAAAAATGTCAGAATTTGACCATTTGCACCTTCAGATAGAGCAGAAAAAAGTCTTTTAAATGTAATCTGTATGAAATTTTTAACTTATTTTCTGAAAGTTTGGCAAATTTATGAAAATTGCTTGACTTTTTGATTTAAAATTTCAGCATCTAATATAAATATCAGTTATAAAGTTTTGAAATATCCAGGTTATAAAAGCTCTTTGCTCTCTTTTAAAGCTAGAATTATAAAAAAAATATTAAATGAGTGCTTTTACTTACACTTTTTAAAAAAAAAAAAATATGTTGCAGGCTGAAGCAGAAGGGAGAAAAAATTGATTTTTTTAGCCATTCCTTGGAAATAAGCTTTGAAGGTTTTGATGTCGCACGATTCTTATTACTTCTGCTCAAATTTCTTTGCATTTACTATTGATCTTATTTTCTTAATGTAAAAAACAACAGAGTTTAAGGATTGATTAGCATTGAAAATTGCTTGCAATGAAATTTACTGTACTGGTTTTAATTTTTTCCATTTCATCAATTTTTTTTAATGTTTTTTTTCCATCATTTCATTTGGCCAATTACTTCTAAAATAGCTTTGAAGGTTTTTTTTTTTTTTTTTTTTTTAAATCCTGAGCTACAACTTTTTTGCTACTACATGAATTTTGCAAAGTATGATTTCAAATATGTCTTCTTGTACTTTGGCATTTCTTGTCCCACCATTTTGAAGAATTCCATGCATGCTTGACATTTTGTGTACTAATTACAGAATGTGGATAGACAAATTGTGGTTCACTTTGAAAAGCGTAAAACCAATTTTCTGGAATTTGTGTTTTATGTGGCCAGGCATTAGAATAAATGGTTGTTCCTTTCTTGATTATATTTAACAGAACTGTGGCTTTTTGCCTGAGCTCTGTAATAAGAGGGTATCTTTAATTTCCCATCAAATACTGCCAAAAATTCATTGAGGGGTAGAATGCTGCTGTTATTTTTTCTTCTCAAGAACTAGCTTTCATCAAACTCTATGATTAAGACTTCATGACTTTTTTATTTTAATGACTCTGCATCTTGTAGATGTATATTTTATTGAAATAATTGTTCCATAGTAGTAATGGTACTGTTAGCCATGCTGAGTTCTTCCATGTAACATTTTATTGATGCAGTTTCCCTAGACCAGTAGCAGTTGAATCTGATGTTAGTAACAGATGACAATCTGCTTTGTTATAAATCTAATTGTTTCATATCATGGTATTAAAATGAAATTTGCATCCTTGTTAGCCTCATCATGAAACAAACAAATTCGTACTTTGTAGCTTTTGATATTTGTTAAGCGTCAAGGAATGAATTTCATAGCAGTGCAGAATTTATTCAAGCTTTCTGTTCAGAAATCTCCAGGCAGATTCCATAAGTGACTGTATCTGTAAGTTCATAAATTGTTAAGTAATGTTTTTTTATGAATGACGTTTTAAATACCTGCTGTTTCTTTATGTTTAATTAACTTGAAGCTCACGCTCTTCAAATGAAATTTAATTGGTCTTGTAACAAGATCTTCCATTCAAAAGCTGTTGTGCAGTTTAAAAAATCACTACCATGAGCTTTAGGAAGCATTTCAAGAGCTTTATAGCAGATTTCTTAAGCTTTGTACAAAACATGATGCAGGCATATTGCTTAATTTTGCTGTCTGTTGCTAAAATGCAAACAAAAAATCAAATTGAAAGTTGTATAAAAAGTTGTGTTTTAATACCTCATTCCTCATATAGGAGGTTTACCAAATTATGAAATGTATCCTACTTTAGCTCTTTTATTGAACAAGGCAAGCTGCAAGAATAACCATTAGGGAACTCACTCTATGAACTCTATTGATTGCATGAGCAGCAATAAATACTGCTATTTGTCTGCATGTCCATCATTCTTTTATGAAAATAAGCTATTCAGGCATTACACAAAAGAACTTGGAAAGCTGCTTACCAGTATGTGCTTTAGCACATTTTATGTGGGTAACAAAGAATTTGCCAATATCTATAAAGAAAAAATTGCAAGTTATGAAAGATGAAGCTTCTGCAAATTCCAGTACGATATGATGTGATGGATGTAAAGAATGCAGTCTGAAGAAAGTGCAGTAGGTGCTGCTTTAATGTGATTGCAGTTAAGTTATCATTTGCATATTGTTATCAGTTTGCTAAAGTTCCACCCATTTGTATACAAAACATAAGAAATGGATCGGTTATTATGATTGACAATTCAGTTAATGCAAACTAAAATAGAATAATTTTTTGAAAATAAAATTGCAAATAAACGATAAATTTGCCATATAAGGTCAAGTTAGATTATAAAAAATGCTGTATGACAAAGAAATGTTGTCAGGTGAGGGGTTAGGTTGTCAAACATCCTGGTGTCAATTTCAGTCAACCATTTAAAATTGGGCAAAATAGGAATCTTAATGATATAGGTTCTGAGTTACTGTTGATTTTGAGGGCAATTGGAAGCAAGTCTTTCTTAAATAACTAGAAAAATTCTCCAGAAAAGATTTTTTTTTTCTTTTCCTTAAAAAAAAAAAAAATTATCCTGGAAACATCTATGATAAAGTAAGGTTGCTTTTTTAAATAATTTAAAATTTTACATTGGTATTTTCTCTTCCAATGAGGGATGCCTTCTGAATGTTAAGATTAGGGTTACAGCATCAGTCAAATAATTTCTACAGAAGTTGTGAATACTTCATAAATGAACTTTTGCATTATAGACATTATGAACAGGTCATTAAAGTGCTGTGAAAATACTTATTTACATATTTTTGATATTTTTATATTAAATTTAATTACTATTTTTGAGGATATTTTTCTCATTATTTAATGTTAGCATTCTCTTAATGTTATCAAGGTAAAAATATATTTCAGGGTGCCCTTTGGCAAAAATTGGCGAGCAAGGTACAATTTCAAAATGGCCGCTACACAAAACCAAAATAACAAGTCAAAGAATTGCACAGATTCGGTGTCCATGTACACATCGATCTATTTTCACTTAAAAAAACATCGGAGAATTGCACAAACTCGGCATTGCGCACTCCGTTGACTTTGTCCATGTACATATCGATCTATTTTCACTTGAAAAAAATCAGAACAATGTCATATAATGTTAAAATATTACTCACCACCAAAATTGAACAAAATTTCTAAGCTCAATAAACTGCTTTTAAATCATGCAATGAAATAACATAAAAAAGGAAATACATGTTGCTAAACTTTCTTTGTCAAAAATAAGGGAGAATTTGATGGAACTGTAGGAGTTGCTACATCACAAAAATATTATTTTTCTGTTTAAAAATAATTTTTCAGTAATATATTTTAAAGAAAATTATTGATTATTTTTTAAGACATCAATCTTTAAAAACATTATATTCTAATATATTTTTTCTCGTGCCATTTGCAATCTACTCAAAGTTGTAAAAACAAAGATTATATTATGGTTTGTATAGGTTCTCTTCTTCTAAGCAACAAAGTTGCGAGACAACAAAGTTGCGAGACAACAAAGTTGCGAGCAACAAAGTTGCGAGGGAAAAAATAGTTGTTAATATCACTTGAATGCTTACATTGCTATAAAGTACATCAATGCTTTTTATAAAATATGTAGTCATTAAATAAAAAATTAATATAGAAAATTAAATGTTCATGTAATCTTTATAACATGCTGGAAAAGTAATTCTTGTCCCACTATGTGTTGTTTTAAATTTTAATCATCTTTTTTTTTTCCCCCCCCCATTTTTAGGTTTGTTTAATGGGGTGTTTGGTTTCTCTTTATTTCTTAGGTTTTGAAAATAATCTTCGCCTGAGGCTTACAAATAAGCTTTTTTTAATAGATCAACAGAAACATTGAAGTCCTTTCCCTTAATTCTCACTATATCATACTTGCCATTTCTCGCAATAGCAGGAAAAGGTCCTTCATAAGGAGATACTAATGTTTCCTTGACACAGTCCACTCTAACAAATACACGTGAACATGATTCTAAATTCTTATGGAAAAATAATTTGTGTCTTCTTTTACATTGGCTTTTAATGGTTTTAATATTTCCATTTGTTTTTGCAGTTCGCTAGTGAAGGTATCTGGTTCTAATTTGGTTTTGCATTCTTGGAAGAATTCTGGTAGCTTCAGTGATTTATCATAAACCATTTCTGCAGTGGAGCAATTGGTATCGTCACATAGAGATGTGTGTATACACTAAGGATCATAGTTGGTAAAGTTTCATTCCATTTGACTGAATTGTGAGCTCTAATGGCTACTTTTAATGCTCTGTGTTGTCTTTCAGTTTTTCCACTGCATTGTGTATGGTATGAAGGTGTTTGCATTTTAATTTTGCAAATAATACCTAAACTTCTGAAAAGCTCTGATCCGAGCTGATTTCTCCTGATTGTAATCACGCTGTATGGAACACCAAAGTGACAAATCCAATTTCCATAAAATGCTTTAATGATTGTTTCTGTGGTAATATTTTCCATCAGAATAACTTCCATCCAGAAAAATGAAATGATTGGTGTATGTTAAGCATTATTCTGTTTCCAAATGAACCTTTATGTTACTTGTTTCACTGATGTTTTGATGCCAGGATGGTTCAAATCATGTATTTTGTGGAAAACATTTCATTCGAAATGGTTGTAGTATGAACAGTCGACTATTTGGAGTTGAAACGCCACACCAGATTATTTTTCCAGAGCGTAGTGTGTATTGTTTAAGATTTAAATTTTTGCTACTATTTAGTAATTATTTTAATTCTTGATTATTGATTTATTCATCCACAATTTTGTCATAAATTATGTCTAAAACTAATTTGGTTCTAGACCTTGAATCTGCAATAATATTATCTTTCCCAGTTATTTATTTCATATTTATAAAAAATTGAGAATTGTAATGGAGTTGTCTTAACCTTCTAAAACCGGGCTGAAATTCTCATAATATAGCCTTCAGACCGGCGCGAACCGAAACAGTTTTGCCCCCTCTTTGACATTTTCCTAATGAGAAAAGTCGTTAGTCCCCCTCCATGGATGCAGTAAAATTTACATGTTTGTCGGATGCTGTCCCATAGTAGATGGGTTGCTAGATTTGCGATTTTTTTCGATGATTATTTTGCTTTCATTTAAATGAAGTTCTAAATAAGTAGTGTATAAATAAATATGCAGTACTGGATGCATATCCAGTGCACTATTTATTTAGAACAAAATGTATGCAATGCTTATATTTCACTCGCTATTTCTGATCAATCTCGTAAATAATTTGTGAATTTTTTAACTCTGTTTTCACTCTTCATTTACATTTGCGTGTTTTCATATTAGAAATTAGAAAACAAGAACAAAATTTTACAAAATATAATAAATACGAACTAGCTTTGTAAGTCTGCAGGCTGAAATGCGATTTTTAATAACATATTTTCATTAACAAAATGATGGTAATAATTAATTTAATGAAATAATAATAATAATATTTATTACCATTAGATGATCAGAATGAGATTCAATACAGTTAGATTTTGAGATGAACTTACAGCAATAATAAAACTTTACATAACAATAACAGAGCTTTAAAGCTGCTTTTTTCAATAATTTTATTATTATAATAAAAAAAAGAGAATCCGAGATACATTGGTTGCATTTCATCATTTAACTTTAACAAATATTACATTGGACTATCAGGCAAAGGAGGTATATCTTTAATGAGAATTTTTCTTTGTAAAATTGGCTTTTATTTATGTTAGCAGAGAAAAAGAAATCTGTGACCTATACATGCAATCATCAAAAGTATTTTTGAGAACAGTTTTAAATGTTCATGAAGAATCAATTATATGTCAATTTCTCTTCATAGGTAGAAATTTCGTCTAAAACCATCGCTTTATCCAAAGGTTGAAGTCTATTTCATTTTCAACGAATATTCTGTTTGCAAATAATTTATTTTAGAAAGAGTAATCTTTCACATTTTCAAAAGAATAAGGACATACTAGGTGTTGACACTTACAGTGTAGTAAATCTGTTTTTCATATTTCTTCCAGTAATGAAAACCAGCAATGGTAATAAATGAAGATGATTAACAGAATATATTCATTCAGATGAGAATGCTCCGGTTATCAATCAATTAACAAATGGTGACAAACCAAAAATGACAGAGAGGTTGTTGAAAATTAAAAAATTTCAATTGATAATTTAGTGGGAATTCTCGACACAGCAATTATAGCACTTATACAATGGAACTTTGTAACTCAACGAGAAATTATGTCTATCCATAGAAGGAATTATCACAAAAAATGAAGCAACTTAAACTGCTTACATTGAAAGAAATGTTTAATAAAGCAAACAAAAAACAGATTGAGCTTTTTTTGTAAATTTTGATTCCCTGAAGGTGTTAAATGTTTCATTACTTTGTAAGTCAACTATTTTGTATCAGTTTTATAATTCCTACATGTGATCTTACTAGATTTAAACTGATGATCTAATATCCATAAATATCTGAAATTGTCCCAACAAGTCGGGATCTTGGACTTTGTACTGTTATATTAACTTTCTGAATGGTAAGCATTTTCAGAGCTGGTTTTGAAGAACAGTATTTGTGCAGTATTTTTAAACTGGATTTGTGAAATAATTTACTTGACTTTCTGTTTTCATAATCTTTCATTCATTAGGGAGATATCTAGATCATTAAAAAAGAAAAGATAGCCAAATATTTTATATAAGAAAGTGATATGTATAAAGTGACCACAAATTGCATGATTGAATAAAAGCAGTCATACTGCTTAGAGGGTTAAAACATTTTTTAATTCATTCCAAGTGCTTTAGAAAATTTATTGAAAAACAGCCTTGTTGTATATTTTAAATAAATAACTATTTTTATTTTTGGTATTCAGTGATTGATGTCATTTACTGGAAGCTAAATGTGGGCATTTTATATTTCAGACGCTGGCTGCGAAGAAGTTCTAAGCAATTCAAGTAAGATACTTGTTAAATAGCTAATACTAAAATATTTTTGCTTGGAGTTTATTCTAATTGTGATGTGTGATGATAAGTTATGATTTCTAGGCTAATTGTTTTAAACTATGTTGACAGAATGCGTAGCTGCGAAGCTGTTATGTTAAATGTATTAGATTTTAGCCAAACACAACTAGAAATAGAGGCATCATGTCCAGTTTTTACAAGGTGCAAAAATAATGATGATTTTATTCCAGATATTTGTTTGAGGGAAATTTTAAGGAACTGGCGCATACCCTACATGAAACTGCAGAATCACATTTGTCATCATACAAATTCACCAGAAATTTAAAAAAAAGTCTGGACAACCCAAATCTTGAGTTGTTTATTGTTCTGTCAACTTAACACTTTCTGGTGTGTGCTTGCCAGTTTTGCTGTCATAATATTATTTATCCCCTTTGTGCCGGGTAGCACAAACGCGCGCTTATCGCAGAGGCCGGCAGTGTCTTACGCGAGCGTCTGTGTAGGGCCGGGGTTTTTGTTGCTATTAAGCCTAAATCCATGAAATTTCCGAAGTATCAACACATCGTTTAATAATGCTCTATAGAGTATTTAAACGGCTTTGCTTTATAGATATTTTTATATATACTTTAATTACCTTATTTCTTGTTTAAATGCATATTTTACACATTTTATTTTCATTACTCACCATTTTATGACTTTTAACATTATACATCTGAAAACAAATTATATATTACTTAAAATTCTCTTTTCATATGAAAAATTTGAAAACGGATCTACACACAGTCCTACGTTACATTCCTTGCACTTGTAATAACGACATGATGATGAGGACATTAATTAATTAAGGATTAATGATGATAAGGACATTTTGGACATCTGTTTGCCGACGTACGTGGCATACAGATGTCCGAAATTTCCTTATCATCATTAGATTCGCCAGATTCTTTATGATCAGAATATATCATAGTATCACTACCACTACTATCAGAATCTGTTTCAGAATTAATATCTGAAATATTTTGCATCATTTCTGCTATTTCATGCTCTGTTAAACATTTTCGACGCTTCGACATTGCAACGGTAAAAACAGAAAGAATTCACGTCTAACAAGATCTAATTATTTTCTAAAAACTAAACTGCAAACCAAAATACCCAACGTTTTAGCGAAAATAAAACTTCTCTACTTAGAATAAACAACTACCATGTGCGAATTTAAAGAGACGTCATAAATCACGCCATTCGGAAACATTTATTTCCCCTTTTGTTTATATAATCAAAAACACGTGTATGTGAGTCATGCTTCTCTCATTTCGAGTAGAAAGTCTAATGTACATGTATCTGAAACCATATGGACATACAGTGCCATCTTGTGGCAGAAATTATAGTTTTTAAAACGTTCCAGGTCACTGGCACAAATACGTGACAGTCGGGGCTGAACGGGAAAACGCTCTGGCACGCCTGCGTGTCGGCTGGGAAGTGAGTGTGTTCGTTCTTGGCACGTAGACGTGACAGTCGGCGCGAAGGGGTTAAATGATCAAAGTTGCATACTGTTTCAGCTAGTTGTTATTATTTCATGGCTAAAAGAGCACTTGCTTTCATTGAAACATCTTGATGATATATACAAGGCAAACAGTATGATATTTTTAAGTCTACTTGTTCATAAAATATTCATTTCAATATTTTAATAATGGGAATGGGGTAATCAAAATTAAAATGGCATAAGATGCAACTGAAAATCATAGTTAGAAATAAAGTTTATAATAATTTACATACAGGTATATACATTTTTCCTGTTTACATCATAGAAAAATTTAGCAAATAAAAGAATGACTTGCATTATTTATATTTTCAAGTTTTGCCTTACTTTGAAAGATTTCATAATTTGTTTATTTTTAGTTTAAATTATTTAAAAGTTAATTCAACATATTAGAATTATTTGAAATAAATGTCTGACTGAAAATTTCATATTTAGCTATGAATACATTCAAATTACAAAGTGTAACCAATGGAAATTTCTTTTAGATACCAATCTTCAGGTTTCAGACAGTAGATAAATATAAATTGGTTTTTCTTTTCCTTTATGTCATCATTATTACTCTTTATGTATATTGTTAAATATTAAATAAATGAAAATTGAAGCTTTAGTAGCAGAAATTTTGTTTTGTTTTGCTTTTATTTTGTTAAAAAATATCAGCTCATTAGCTGCTTTTAGTTTGTGCATTCAGCCTGCATGCAGTTTGAGACCACTGTTCCAAGAATATTTTAAGGCTGAGTGATTGACATCTTGAATGCAAAACTAAGCAGTGTGACTTTATCCCATCATATTGATGTTAGACAATTTGATACTTAACAATGAAGTTATTGGAAGTAGATGCCATTTCCCAGCACATATAATTTTTTATAATGCATTTGAAGGAACTTAAATGAAACCAAATGAGACCTTGATTCTCAGGAAGAACACTAATGTTCATCTAAAGATGTCTACTTTAACTAAAACTATGTATTATGAACCCTAAAGGTTAATCTCTAAAAGTTAACTCTAGTAGTCAGCAAGTTATCACCTCTCTTGATGCTTATTAGAAAATACAAAGTAAACCTCAAGGATAAAATCTAACTCAGAATTTTATTTTTCACTGCTTGTTATATTACAACTAAAAATAGTATGAAATAAATGCTTCAGCTTCTCATCTGTTAGTTGATGTAGCAACTCACTGCCTAGCTACAGTTGAGTTTACATTTCTCTGATTGACTTTCGGCGAGCCCCACGTAATGGCGTCTCAAACCATGTGAATAGACCTGCAATCTAATAGATTGTTTACACCAATCAGAGCCAGAATGACAACTTTCCTCCATTTGTTTGCAAAATGGATACCTACATGGCAGTTACAGTGCTTGAAGTTTGCGAAGTAGTTTCCAATGAATTGATTTTTGTTCTGGGAGAAAAAAGAAGAAAAGAAAATCGATACGGGACTGGGTAGCTCACTGTAATGAACTGGGAGCAGTAAATCAACTTTTAAATGAACTTTGTGGTGAGGATATCCAAAGTTAAAAACTTTCATCAGAATGGGTGAAGGATAGTTTGAAACTTTTTTGGAAATGGTGACGGCAGTTATTCAGGGGACAAAAGTTTTTTCGAGATGCTCTGCCAGCAAAATTAAAATGCAAATAGCAGTTTAGTTTCTGGGGACATGTGACTCCTACAGTTTTCTGCAATATTTATTTTGAGTGCCAAAATGCCCAATCAGCATATTTATTCCAGAAGTGTTTGAGACCATTTTCTGTATATCAGGTTGAGTGAAAATTATTAACCTTTTGCCTGAACTCTCCAACACCCTCGAATTTTAACATGCTAATAATAACCTTATATACTTTCTGCTGGTGATTTTTATTTTTATACTTCCCACTGATTGTTTGTAAATAAAATCTTAATTTGTTGTTCAATTGGAAAGGAAAGTCTGTAAACAAAATTTCAAAATTTTAGATTGTTTTATTAGGTGTAATTGACCATGAGTAAAAACTGGTTTTTTGAAATTTATATCAGCAAAATGAAATGTTTGCCTTTTTATTTATTTTTTTAATTGGAAACTGTATTTTATTGGGTAGTTGAAGAACATATAATTTGTTTTTTGATTAAATAAAGTTCAGAAATATATGTTTAAAATAAATATTTTGAATCAGATACCCAAACTGAATTTTCTTCCGTGTTTTTTCTACATCAAAAACCTAAATTTGTTCTGATCATCAGTTATATCCATGTTATATGTAGGTATTACTAAACAATGGTCATAATATTCAGGTAGTGAAGTATCCCATAATACTTCTCAAGATGCATATGCATTAAAAATGCCATAGTTAGATTATTGCTGTATCTTAGCACTTTTGACATGACAGGAAACTGGGCATGATGTCTCTGCGGACACTGCTCGGAGTTACTGTCCGAATAGATTTTCAACTGGTTTGAAGTAGAAACAGAATCGCTGATTCATCTCTTCTGCATTGGACAAAGTGAGCGTTTACATTGTCAAAGAAGTCATATCTAGGGGCTTGCTGCAGGTCGCTCAGAGAGGTGTAAACTGGACTTTAGCCTGGATTACAATTGCAACAAACTGTATTCGAAGTTAAAACATGTTGGTGGAAAAAAAAAACCAACTATTTGCTACACTTGCTAAACTCAACTAACATTGGCACTGAAACCTTCTGTGACACATAGCTCATTTTACAACCAGCAATATAGCAGCACAAATTCTACTTTGAATCCCTGTTAAGATTTCATCTGAGTTTTTCCTTGCACCACTTGCCGTGCATTGTGCATAAACCTTTGCTTTAGGTTGAGATGGACTAGGATTTTCATCTTATATTTTAATAATTTATTATCAAAACTACTCCACAAATACACGATAAAACAAGACATAAACGAAAGAAACCAAAGCTGTTAGTATGGTAAGTATGATTATGATAAGCAAGACATATTTTTCTTGGAATAAGTAAACAAGCAAATAAAAAGAACACGGGGCTAGCAAATTAGAGATAAATTTAACAAAGGGTTAATGTGAGCTTCTCTAAAACTTACTTCTACTTGAACTGCTGAACCAGTTTGCTAAATGGTTCAGCATTTAGAACAATATGCAAGTACTATATTTATTTGCACATTTCTCCCATCTCATGTACTTTTCCCGCTATTTTTTTTTTCAGCATAGTATTTAGGAAATTCTGGTTTATAGTAACAAAGTAAAATGTATGCACAAAGAGGAAGTATTTTGTGTAAGTAAAAAGAAAAGTTATTGAAATAGAAAGGTCCTTTGAAAGACATATAGTAATATCAGTGCATTTTATGTGTGCTTTTTTAATTTTCTATCTTAATCATTTCAGCCATCTCTTCAGAAATATTATACACCACATATTTTTTCCCTCTTGGTTTTTTCCAAACAGTAAAATTAGTAGGAAAAAAGGTGGATATTGAAGTAAATACAGTAGTTTCTTCAACTTGCAGCAGCTGACATTGCATTTCCAGATAGTTTCTTTTCAAATATACATTTCCATATTTTGGTCATTTTCAGAATATGAAATTCTCTTGTGGAAAAGTTATAACATTTTTTCCTGTTCATGGTAAACCAAAAACATGTTGAAAAATTTTAGCAATGAAAAGCGATGAATTTCATTTAGTGATAAATTTCATGAGCTGGTATGCAAATTATAAATTTATTGTTGTTATCATTTTGTCAATTTAATTTTCATAGTTTATAGTATTTGACAGCAAATTATATTTTCTTATGCCCAGATTGCCCCAACTGTTGCTTTCTCTTTTATCTGACCAAGGCTGTATGGAAAGAAAATATTATTTTGTGTCAATAGTATGACAGTAAATGCTCAAATAAAGTAATATTTACATGTATTTTATGCACCAATGACATATCTGACTTTTAAATGTTTTCTTTTAATGTTTATATGATTTGTTTCTTAATTCCCCCCCCCCAAAAGATGCTGTGAATCCTTAAAGAATTCTTGTGTTTTTATTGTAAAATATCCTTATACATGAAGCAGTCAGTTCAAATCCATGTTTTTCAAGGATCAGCTGCATAAATTTTGTAATTCTCATGAATTATGATACAATTCTTATCTGAAAATAGTTTTTGTTCATAAATCATATTTATATTGTCTTTGTTGATTGAATCTATTAGTTTACAATTCTATATCTCTTCTAATGAATAGCACATATGCCTCAGCTATACTACTGTAATTAGCATATATAATCAAACTATGCTAGTTACTGTGATATATCTCTCAAATGGAATGCTGGTTTTTTACTATTAATTAGGAACTAGCGTTCTTTTTTAATGCTTGATGAAATGAATCTTTTAGTAATTTTGCAATTTGGAAATGTTTGTAATTCTAACTTTAATAATAATAAAATTTGTAAAAGTAGAATCACGTTATGCAGTTTTTTTTTTTTTTTTTTTTTCTCTTCTTCCAGAGACAGTCCCAAACATGAAGTTGTAGATTTCCCTACAATCACAAGTAAGCTTATCACGAGTAAGCTTACCAGCAAAAGTAAGCTTTTCATAATTCAAATTCAACAAGGGAAATTTGGCATTATCTCAGCTTGTGATGTCATGTTTTTCTAATTGGGTGTTTAAAAATGCATGTAGAAGTCTTGTGAATATTATAGTTAAGTTTTTTATTTTATTTCTCCATATTAGTAAATTTCTACCCCCCCCCTTTTTTTTTTTTTTTTTTTAAATTATGGCCCTTTATCCTTGTGAAAATGATATGAAATAGAAAGGGGGGAAATTTTGTTAAAGTTCTGCTCAATTATACCATTTATTAGGTGATTATTTCTCATGAAATCAGCTGCAAACTCTGTGGTATGTATTCTCGATTAGACATTGAAATTTCATGTAATCAGAATACAGTCAACTCTTTATTAATTTTGGGTATATTAACTAAGCTGTCTTTTTTTTTTTTTTTTTTTTGTTGTTGTTGTTGCTGACTGACTGATTGATGGAAGAATTATGAATACAAACCACTAACATAAAACTAAACTGTGCAAAAAATAAAAAAGTGACAGAAAATTTGTGTGATAATACTGAATAGTGAATGATGTCATTCACATGAGAGTCGTTTTTATAGAAAACATATTGGGCTTTTATGCTTCCTTGACATTCTTTACAGATTCCATTTTCAGTATTTTGCCATAAGTAAAATATCTGATATTAAAAATCAAAATTCTTTGAACTGCAATTTGATTTTGCTGATTTAAGAAAGGTCATCCATTTCCCTTACGTGAAATTTTAAATTTAAAATACATCTGACTGAGAAAGATTTAACTGCCATGCCCAAATTAAGAGAAGTATTTTAAGTATCACATTTATAAACATTAAACAGTGAAGATAAAAGTGTTTTATTTTTTTTTTAAATTTATCTTTGAATGTAATGACATCAAGTTCTCTTGTAAATACTATTCTTTAACATTATTTGTAACTTAGTTGTTTCATTTTTTTTTATCTTTTCTTTATTTACAGTCCATTCTCTTTGTTTTAAATACCAATTTAATTTAATTAACTTAATAAACTGATTCTCCAGATTAAACTGCCTGAAAGTACAGGTAAATTGTTAATATGTTTTACTGTTAATTATAATATGAGTTATTCCACTTTCTTGTGCTTTTTTACTGCCTTCGAATTAACCATGATTTTAAGTTGAGTATAGCTGTTGTTTCCTGTACTACTCTGGTCAATCAGAAGTTGACTGTATGCATCCAAAGAACTGCACAAACAGGATATCATTATTTATCTCTGTCAAAATAAATTTTTAATGTTTTGACAGTTGCAAATAGTGAAGGATATATTATTGATTGCTTATTTTGTGTTCAACTTAGGTTATTTGAATATGTAAAGCCATGAGGGCTATCTGCTTATGAGGAATGCCTTAGTAGAGGACATTTTGAGAGAAACTGGCCTATATTCATTTAACATAGGATAAAAACCACAAAAAATAACATGCAGCCAGCTCATTCACCTGGTTTTGAACCCAAAGTATATCAAATTACCAACATTGAGCAGTCTTAACCACATAGCCACTGGTAGGGCTATTTTGTGTTTAAAACCAGAGTTATTAATTTCTTTCCAGGAGTAGTTTCCTCTCTTTAAAAAATAAGTTAATAAATCTTCATGAGGAAGTAAAAGCAATTTTGTGTAAGGCTAATACTTTTAGCTTTTAAATATGCATCCTGGCATTTAAAATATTTTCCTGGCATTTTTAAATATTTTGTGAATAGATTAATTTATTTTTTATCATATTCCAAGCTATTAATAGAGAAGTTGGTTTACAGAGTACTTTTACCAGTTGCTTCCTTTTTTTCTTTTAATGTAATCTTGAATATAATTTTTTAAATATATAATCTTGAACATATTTATTAAATGTTTCTTAGTATATTTTTATATTTAATAAAATGTAAAAGGTTGTGCAAGTACATTTGTGGTTTTGTTGGTCTGAGGTGCTTCGTAGTAAAAATAGCTATGAAATTAATGTCAGTTTTGCTCATTTATGAACCTCGTTAAACTCAGTGTTGAGTTTATTTATCTTTATGTAGCAAGTAATGTTTTCTCATTCATTTATTTCTGTATTTTTCATAATGATCATGTATATAGTTTTTTTATCATAAAGGAATCAAATATTTTTATGCAAATCATATATATAAAAATATTAAGGATAAAGTTATTTTAATTTAGACAGTCAATATTTAGGAAAATTTTTTAAAATTTTCTGGAGAATACTGAAATTTAATAAAGCCACAAATTAACCCCCTGAATAGTATGACTGCCTTTAACCACTCGGGAGATTTTTAATCACTTGCTATATATATATTAGCTTATAATTTAAAATATTTGGCTTTCTTTCTCTAATGATGTCCCATATTTTTCTTCTGCTGTAATCCTAGTTTCCTTCTGCATTTCTTCAAAGTTTAATTTTTTTTAAGATTTAAGTGAATTAACTTTTAACTTTGATGAACTAACTTTAGCAGGTTAACTTTTCTATGCAGAACAGGTATTCAGACTTTTGAACTACAATATATCAAATAACTAAAAGTTAAGTTATCTGGGAGAAAATAATAATTATTATTCTCCCATCTATTACAGGAAACAATAAAGCTTTCCCCCTTCACTTGTTCATTCACAAGGCTCATTTTCAAGCAGCTAAAAAAATTCAATAAGATGTTCTCTGCTATACAGTAAGCCATAAAGAAAATTTTTTGATACCTCATCTTGGAAACTTCTTTTCTGTAAAGTATTTTAAGACATTTGTTCAGACTGTGAAGTCAGGAAGAATGGCTGATTTTTTTTATTCATTTGTGTAATTGAGAAATTTAAATTTCAAGGAAGCTAAAATCATTTTGGGATCATAAGAATGGTAAATGTTGCAAGGTATAAGCATTCTTCATTAAAGTGTGGGGAATTAACACAGCCAGCAATTACAGCTGTTATGTAATTGCTGCAATTACATTAAAATAGTATGTACTTAAATTTTTAAAGTAGTTTATTCTTTTAGTTATGTGTCAAAATTGTTTTTGAGCATTTCAAGTCCCTGTGGCATTAAACATTTGCAAAAATTGTTCTTGCTGTTTCTCTAAACTTTGAAGTAGTTTGATGCAGTTTGTCTTATTCTTTCCTCACCATATGTTCTATCGAGCAAAATTATAACATAAGATATTTTAGGTAATTTAGTTTTCAGTTTGTCAATGATATGCGAGCTGTCATATCAATAAGTTCATTTTATATTACAGATAAATCGCCTCTAAACAGAGAGTTTTCTTCTTATGTGAAATCAGATCATAAAGAAATTCAAATTTCACCAGCAGCTTGTTTCTGAAAAAATTTAATTTTTTGAATTTATCTTTCAAAATAATTTTGAACTTTAATTTAGTAATTTGAACTTTTTCATTGTGGAAATCATTTGACATATATCATGAGCAGCAAATGCATTGGTGTAGATAAACTACTAAAGCCAATTTTTGGAGGTCCTGTTTTTGTTTTAAAAAAAAAAGGCAAACGTTCTCAGGAGTACAGTGTATAAGGAGCGGTATTTCATTCTTAGGTCAGCCATAAACATTCTTTATAGTTATTTAGAATAATCTACCATTCCTTTTTACCAATTTAATGTTAAGCTGTGGTAGTGGTGATGAGGCTTTCCACTCTATACTCTTGAAATTTGAATAAAAAAAAAAAAAAAAAAAAAAAGAGTTTTATGGTTTTTGTTTGTCAAATAGTTCTTTAATAAAAAAATTCATACAATTAAATATTGCATGAGATATATGTGCTGCAGAACTTTAAAAAAAAAAATTAGCTTGCATTATGATTGGGGAAAGACTATAAGGTGTTCCCATTAAGCAGATCTGCAGTATAGTCTTCATTTTTCATCCTGAAGCCTCTATAAATCAGGCTTCCCAAGTATCCTTGTTCCCTTCCTCTCCTGTTATGATAGAAACCAAAGTTTATCATGTAACTATAGCCTTGGTGCGTGCCTATGCTGTGGTTTTTGTGCTTAAGACAAATATGTGCTCGCAAAATGTTTTTTTTTTATTTTATTTTTTTAATTTTTTTTTTTATTTATTTATAACTTAATTACATCAGTTACAATATGTTTCTATACCAGCGCATATGGTGTGTTTTAAAATAAATTTTGATAATATAAAATGTAATGCTCGTGACGAAATATTAACTCAGTAAAAAAAAGTATGATTTTGATCAGTCATAACAATACTAATCAAACTGAAAATGAGTTACTATCAGTAATGGAAGTTCATGCGCAATCATCACTTTGAAATATCTAAGATTCCATTTGTGTCATCTGCTACTTATCGTAAAAAAATATTGTTTTCATTTTGTTTACCACTGGCTGAGTGATGAACACCGCTAAAACTGGTAGTTTGAAGGCAGGCAAATGGCTGGTTACATGGGTGTTGTGTGGTTTTCACCATGTGTAATGAAAATACAAGGTGCGTAGCATTCATAGCGTAATTTGACTTGTGTAGCACAATGATGTACTGCATGAATGCATGCCAGCTTGTAACTGCATTCATGTACTAATGAGCTACTATTTCAAGTGTGACAGTGATATGGATCGGTGGAGTGTACAGCATCGTGCCTTTGCTGTTGAAAGTTATTTCAAGAATAACTACTCTGTTATTGCTACCCAGCATCTATTTGCTGTTGAAGGTTATTTCAAGAATTTCAAGACTTTGTTATTGCTGCCCAGCATCTATTTGCTGTTGAAAGTTATTTCAAGAATAACTACTCTGTTATTGCTACCCAGCATCTATTTCGGCAACTTTTCAACTTGGGATATCATGGGAAAGTTTCCGATGGACAAACCATTGCGACAGACATTTCCAGGTAATTTCCCGTTTTGGTGACATTTCCTGGTCGCCTTGCTCACCTGATCTTTCATGTGCAGACATTTTCCTTTCGGGCCACCTGAAGCAAGAAGTTTTCTGAACACGTTGTGCCACCATTCCTGACTTGAAGGATCGCATCAGAACTGCCGTCGACAATGTCCCAGGGAATACGTTACGCCGAGTTATGGCAAGCTTCCAACGCCGCCTAGATGAATGTGGTGTGCAAAGGGGGCATCATTTGACAAGGCATCATATTCAGAAAGTAATCCACGCAATGGACAATGACTTACACATTAGTAAATGGCATACCTTTAATTATTAATTGACACAAGAGGTAATAAATAAATTACAATTACTGCCTTATGGTGTGTTTTTAATATCCTACATCTTAATTATGATTTAAGTTCCCTTAATTGCAAATCAGTTAAATGGTGCAAAAAATGAAGGCTGCCGCACCCTATACAAACCAGTTTCCTTTAGAAAGTCCTCTGGAAAAGTATCCTTTCCTGTAGGTAGATAACCCTAGTATGCTTTACCATGCATAAATAATCTATGTCCTAATGGATAATATTTTTATAATAGATACTTTTGTTGTAGTCTATTTGCATGTAAGAAAATGCATCTGAAGTTTAATTATTCTGTTTCAAACGTGCATCTGTTCTTTTGCTGTGGTAACTTACAGGTATTCCAGCCATACCAGATTTAGACGATGCGAAAGATGAAGTTTTTTCAGCAGATGCTGCAAAAGCACCCAGGTAAGTATATTACTCTGTCTCAGTTTGATAATTATCTCTTTTTTATTTGATTCTAGTGTTTATGAGACATTGTCTGAAATATTAGTTTTTTTACTAAACAAAAGAACATAGTTAATAATTCTAGAAACTTATTGTCAGAATAAATAGCAACATTAATCTGTCTTTTGTATCTAGTAGGCATTTATACTGTAGCTTGTAATTTTACCATTTGCAACAAATGAAAATGTATGTTTGCTGTTTTGAACTAAGGAAAATATTCCTTTAATTGCATAGCATTGATAAATGTGTTTTGCTAGACCACAGCAGTATCACTTGGTTGACATCAATTTAGATAGCTAATTATGTTCTAAAGTCTCAATTATATTACTAACTGAACATTCATTAGTGTTGTAGCATTTTAGGTTTGTATGAATGGCAACAAATTTGAAAAAATTTAAAAACAAAATTATCTTGGATTTTATGTTATATTTTAAAGTAATTTTGTAAGTTTTATTCGTAAAAATAGAAATTTTCTTTGTATGGTGTTGTAGTGCTTTGTATGTTGTTTGTAAAAACTATCTGTCCTTTATGAAGCTGCAACTCCTTTATTTTTCAGATCTTAAAAGAAATAAAAAGTAAAATATTGTTCTTTTACTTCTCATTATCAAGTTCCTTTAATTTTTATTATTATAATTAATACATCTTAATTATGATTTAAGTTCCCTTAATTGCAAATCAGTTAAATGGTGCAAAAAATTCTTTTTTTGGATGATGGCTTTAACAATAATGAACACAAACATTCTTTTTGATAAAAAACACGGCATTAAAACACCATTTCTCCAATTTAAAATGAAACTGACTGAACAAATTTTCAAGAAATACGGAAATTATCAAGAAGAAAAGCAGTTTGCTGTTAGATCTGTACCAGCATCTAGCCGGTTATCTAGTAGGCATTTTCCTATCCTGTGTATGAATGAAAAGGGTGAAAAAAAACCCCGAAGAAGGTGCATAGTGTGCTAAAACAAAGAAAAAAAGTAGCAGTAGTATTATGTTTGTGGATCATGTATGCTTTGCCTTTCTTCCGTGCTTCAAGATTTACCACACTCATTCTTCATTTTAAAACTTTTTACTTCTTACAGTAAATCGTTTTGTTTTATGTGATTATGGCAGAGACTCAAGGGCTATCTGACTAAGGTAATGGATGCCTTTGTGGAGGACGTTTTAAGAGAAACTGGCTCATATACACATTGCACATGGCTAAAACCATAGAAACGCCCATGCAGCCAGCCTGTTTGTGGGATTCGAACCTCAGGCCAATCTACTAGTGTTCAGCAACTTTAATGCTTGGCTACTGGTGGGCTTACTGTATAAGGTATTTCTCCATCCTTCTTAGCATGCTTTCGTAGTGTGGTGGTCTGCACGCTGGGCGTGTATTCCAGAGGTCCGTATTTCGATTCCCGGCAAAGGCGTTGCTCATATTTCATCTTGCCTGTTTCCAAAAATACCTAGTGTTGTTGCGGTGGCGCCCGAACTAAAAGGGTGGTGAATGATGATTCTCCACATCCAGGATTTGGCGAGTGGGTCCCCTAAAAACCCCAGTCACCCTTTAAAAGGGGGGGATTATATAAATTATTTCTCCTGCCTTCATAGTGTGTTGGTCTGCACGCTTGGTGCTGGCGCGTATTCCACAGGTCCGTAGTTTGATTCATGGCGAAGGCATTGTTCATTCTTTATCTCTCCTGCTTTGAAATTGCCTGTCTCTACAACTGTAAATAAGCTTTATTGTGTTTTTTTTATTAATTTTAAAGTTTATTAAAGAATTTTGTCAATTACAACTTTGAAATAATTTGTGTAGCTCTTCTGAAAATTATTTTACAAGCTAAGCAATTTTTTAAATAAATTTTCGTATGAAAAAAAGTTATTAAATGCTAATTTTAACATGTATAAATGCTCAAGTAATAATCTAAAATGGTACCAAAAATTATAATGCTAGAACCTAAAAAATTTGTGGGTGGGTGTGATTTTTTTTTTTTTCTTTCTAAAGTTAGGCTTAGCAATGCAAAATCCCGTACCGTATGACAATTGCCTTCGACTCCCCTCTGTCCTGCACAGTTTCAAAACAAAGGTGTACCGTCATGTAAGGGTTAAACGCATTCTGGAAGTATGATCATACTGTCTTCACTGATCATAAACCTATCACTTTTGCCTTCCAGTCGAATTTAGATAAAGCCTCTCGAATAAAATTCCAGCAGTACATTGCTGAATTGACTGCAGATATTCGATACATTTCCATGGAAGAAAAGTCGTAGCAGACAGACTTTTAAGCATTGAAATCATTGCTACTCCAGGTTCATTTGATTATACGCTTATTGCAGACTGCCAGGATGATGAAGACTTCAAGATTGTTAAATTAAATTCCAGTTTCAAAATAGTACCCCAGGTAGCAATAAGAAAATTTACTGTGATACCTTCACTAATGTTAACCAGACAAACATTCCTGTAGAATTTCATGAAAGAATATTTTTCTGCATGCATAACCTACCCAATCCTGTAATTCGTGCGACAGTGAAACTGATAAAAAGCTTTATTTGTCCTGGCATAAACAAAGACTGTCAACTGTCAACCAGAGCACTCTTGGCATGCCAATGAGCCAAAGTTAACAAACATACCCGTGCTCCAGCTGCCAAATTCAGAGTTCCAAATCAGTGTTTCAAGCCCCTTAACATCAATATTTGTTGGTTTTTATCTTCTTACACAGCTTTTAGGTATCTGCTTACTATCACCAAACGATTCACTCGGTATATTGAAGTTGTTCCTTTGGAAAACCAAACTGCATATTTCATCACAAATGCCCTTGCCACAACTTGGATTTCTAGATTTGGAATACCACAGTTGTCATCTGACCAAGGTCGATAGTTTGAAAGCCAGCTCTTCCACTCCTTGAGCAAATACCTAGGTCTCAAAACTAGTACCACCACAGCTTTATCACTCACAATCTAATTGTTTAATTGAATGCCAACATCAAACTTTGAAATGTAGCCTCAAGTCCAGCCTTCAGACGTCAAATTCTTGGGCTGATGTTCTACTTTTAATTCTTTTTGACATTCGATCTGCCATTGAAGAAGATCTGTGTTGTTCTGTTGACCGTTTGTACAGCACATCAATCTTTCTGGCTGGGGGATTTTTTAATAAATTTTCAAGTGATTTTTCTATTTAGATTTTATAAAAAAAATTGCAAAGCCACATCCAAAATCTAAAACCAACTCTAACAACAACCATGTAAAAAAGAAAAAACAGTTTTTATTCATAAGAACTGAACAAATTGGTCACATGCATTCATGTTTATAACATAAATTCTCCTCAACTAACTTCTTTTCAACCAACCTGTCTTGGACCATATTTAGTTAAAGTTTTGAAAAATTCTTTAATAGAGTAGTATCAGATAAAAGAATATCGATAAGTAGGCTGAAACCATGTTTAAAACTCAAAGATGAAGTGACAAGTCTTTAGATATGTGAAGCTTATAACTCCAAAATCTCACAACCACTTCCTAGAAACAGTGATTTTTCCAAAGACACTGACCCTAGAAACACAAGAACCGGTTGAAAAGTGGGATTTTCTGCATATCTAAAAGTCTGTAGTGCAACATTATCACTGGAAAGAGGGTTGGTAATATCATTTACAATACTGAATCATTATCTAGCTAACTTTTCATGTTGCATATTTTCTTTTTCCCCAAGTGGTAACATCAAAAGAGCTTTAAATAAAAAATAAATATTAAAGTTTATTTTTAAAGAAAAACTTGTTATACTTTGTTTTACTCAGCTCTCTCATTAATAAAATTGTTTAAAAAGTTTGCCGCTTTCTTACTACTCATGCTTATCATTTCAATAGTTATGCCAACAAAAACTCAAGTTTTCACCTCCAGATTTCCTACCATTGCAACTTTGAACTAAATTTCTACTTTTGAATTTCACTGCTGACTCAAATCCCCTCACACTTTTGAGATTACAAAATTCTGAATCTGAGAAAAATACGCTGGGAGTCTAACCTGTTCTACTATTTAATTTTTTTGCTCTGATCCATATTACTGTTTGATTACTTTCATCTTTCTCAGAATAAGCAATGTTAATTCATTTTTGACTGTTTGTTATTTACAAAAGGGAGTGGCAAAGCTGTAGCAAATTTTGCGTTATCCAGGGTGCACCACGAGGAGGCCTGCTACGTTATACCCCTTGTTAACTTAAATCTTAAGAAAATTCTTAAACAGGATATGATTCAACATGCTATGGATAATAGTTGGAGGATTCTGTGGGAAGAGACAACTTTCATTCCCAGTTTTCCAAGAAAGACAGCAGTAGCTCTGTTTAGACATATGACCGAACATGATTGTTTGCAAGACCACCTCTACAGAATTGGATTGGTGGATTCCCCAAACTGCATTTTGTGTAGATCCAATCAGCCTATGTTTTTTTTTTTTTTTTTTTAACATTTAAGTAATTGTGTTGCACTTTCTTAGTGTGAGGACATATTTAAAAACTACTGGAAAGTCTGTGAGCTAATGGCTTGAGTGCTAATATTTGGCATTCGTAAAGTAAATGAAATTTGTTATTTACAATACAGCTCCACTCTTATCTCGGTTCATCTTTCACTTAATCAACATCACTTTCAGTACTCAGGCTTACATATTTAATCCTGCTTCTGTTAACAAATTTTTGCTAATATGTTTATGCTAAGTCACTACTTGTCCATGCAATGCTGATGCAACTTCTGCAACTTTCTGATCAAGTAGTTTGATATCTAGTGCAGTAAAACAATAAAAAGTGACTTTCTGAAGATTGTATAAAACTCAGTATTGAGTTTTTGTCATCAGAACTGACTGTTGGTTTCACTGTGCACATATAATCTAAAAGTGTGAAATCTTCGAATAGGTTTCTTACCCTTACCTGGTTGAAATTTTTTTTAAAAGTGAACTTCAGTAGTACACATATGCCATCATTTTAATGAAATTGATAAAAATTAAAGTTTAAAAGTACTGTAGGATTTTAACCCAATCTACAATAAATGTTTTCATGGTTGATTACAATGATCATCTATCACTGAAAGTGCAATAATTTCTATGACCATATCTATGGTGAACATCAAACCATAGATCTTTTGCTTCATGAGCAAGTACATTAATAATTAGACTAAAAGTTTACTCCAAATCTGAATGTTAATTTTGCCATATTTTCTGTGCCCAATAAAGATCACTACACTACAAGCTGTAATATAAGTTCATTGATAATTTGGCATAAATACAATTAGCTTCATATTTAAAAAATAAAATAGCTATTTCCTGAAAGTTGTGTGGTAATAGTAATATGTAGCTGTTATTTAATTCTTTGTGAATATCTTAGCACAGATTACAAAATTGCAAATGAATTTCAGCATGTATTATGTGCCTTAATTTATAGTAATTTTTTGTAACAATCTTCTTTTCTCTAGTATGTATGCGTTTCAGACTAAATCAAGCATAAACATCATGTATTTTTGTTTTTATTTCAATCACTGGTATCTCAAGTAAAATACTGGACAGATGATATTTTGTCACTGGCTTTTAGAAAATATTTTCCCTGATTATATTTGCATAATCATACCTTCATTTTCACTTTCTCTGATGTATTTTTGCCTATAGATAAAGTGTGTTATCATTTGAGATGAAAAGTAAAGATAAAAAAGGACATTTTGAGATGCAAAGCACAAATATGCATTTAGCAGTTTCCTTCTTGGATTTTCCATGTGCACTGTATTAACATTATTGTGCAAATACTTTTCAATGCATAAATACATCTTTGTGTCTGCTAACTTATTATACTATGTTTACTTTTTTCTTTTCGTTATTTTGAATGTTATTTAACATTACTAAAAGTCATTATTAAGATATGTATGTTTTAACTCTCATTTGATTGTTTAACAATAATTTGATTGTATTCAAGTAAATAATTTCTATAACAGAGCTTCCAACTGTTCCAATTTAGAAGGGAGACTTCTGATTTCCAACCATACACCAATCCAATTTGCAGCATAGTTCTCCTGACTTTCTCTTACTCTTAAAATTTCTCACGATTTTTTTGTAGCTTGGCTTAATACTTCATTATTTCCATCACAAAAAGTGATTCTTGACAACTGAAAGTGCTTGGTTTTATCTAGATTACATATAAAAAAGCACCAAAATGATTTCAGCAGTGAGACATTATGGCATGCTTCTGCTTTGTGTGTGAAAGTGTGTTTCTGAAAATATTATGTTCCACAATAAGCATCAAGTATTACTGTGAGGCATCTGACATACATTAGCGAATAAGCATAAAGCAATATCTAGGTTGTTTCATTCATCTTGCCACTGAGCGTTATGAGTTTCACGTGCTTTCAAGAAAAAATTTAAGAAATTTGAATCTTTTTGTCTTTGTGAAGTCTTCCAAAAAGGTAAAATACTGGTGTACTTTTCAGAAATCATACACAGATGATTTTCTTTGTATTATTTCTTCAAGGAAATGCGATTTTTTTTGTTTTGTTAATTTTGCATATTGGAAGGTTCAATATTGTTAAAGAGGTGTGTACACAAAAACACAAGGACGAATGAGTTTTATTGAAAAAAAAAGTTTAATTTTTCGTGAGAACAAAGGACCAAAAAGTTATTAATACAGCATGCCTGTTCTCCACGTTCTTACCAGAGCACAACTTGCCACTGAATGTATTGGATCATGCTGCAGCTTTATTTAGAAAAATGTTTCCATAACGAAATTGCTAAAAAATACTCAAGTGCAAATACAAAAACAGATGTAGTTGTTAAAGAAATGGTATGCAAAATTAATCTTCAGTTATTAATTAACATAGTTCCATTCTGCCTCTCTACAATAGAAGCAACAATACTGAAGCAAAACTATATTTGATTGTTGTGTCTTTCTTTAATCCAGAATCTTAAAATGTAGTGCAATGCACTTTCTGTCCCCACTTTAGAAGGAGATTTGACTGGCTTTAATTCAGCACAGCTAATTATTAAAACCTTTAAAAGAAATGCAGTTCCTCTGGATTAGCATTTGCCAGTTACTGGTGTGTTGCCAGCACCAAATGTTGACAACACACCAATAATGATAGGCTTGAAGACTGAAGTTGCTGAAATCTGAATGAAAGAAAATTCATATTTGCAAATTATGAGCTGCACCTGTCACCTGTTAAATTTAGCAACTGAAAATGGACAGCATCTTTGTCAGTAAGTGTGGATGAATGCATTGCTGATATTTATTATTATCTGGAAAAGAATTCTAAGGAAGGAAAAATTGAAACAAATCTAACAGCTACATAATACTGAAATAAGGAAAATTTTTGAACATGTATGTAAATGCTGGTTATCTGCAGAGAAATGTTTGTCTAGAATCCTTGGCTAATGGAAAACACTTCTTACATTTTTGGAGAAGTAAATGCTTCTAGAGTTAAGATAAAGGCTCTGTTGAAAGTTATCAAGTACCTACTTATATAAACTTTGAATAAAGTTATAAAAGCAGCAAGAATTGACACCCGATAGAATTTAATTGGATAACTGAAATGTGTTGATAGAGTTGTAAATTACAGTGAACTATCTAGAAGACTGTTGGCCATCCTGACAATGTGAGAGGATTTTCAGTGTTGTTACTAAAACAAGGACTAAATTTAGATCAAATATTAGTAATGACACACTAAAAAATTTTTAATTGGCAAAAGCAGGCCAACACCAAAGAGTTTCTTTCTTATTGAAAGCAAAATCTACCACCATTGCTCGTAGCATTTGTATGAAAAACTGATTAAAGCATTATTTTTCAATCAAAACATACAAATAATAAAAGTGGTTTTTTTTTTTTTTTTTTTTTTTTTTTTTTTTTTTTTTTTTTTTTTTTTTCTCTCTCTCTCTCTCTCTCTCTTTCTATTTACATTTAAGTACTTTTGTCCTATTTGCATTTAAGAATTAGTAACTAATCCTTCAGGTGTTAAATGGTTAGTATTTAAAGTTAATTCATTATTGAAAAGTATATTTCCTTTTTATATATTTTCATCATAAATCTAAATCTGTTATATAATAAACTTTCCATACTGTATACTGTTAAGATGGTGTAATATTTTCTAATTTTTTCTTAGTTTGGCTGTTAGTAGAATTGCTACTTATCAAGAACTTGATAGTGATCTCTCCAAACATTCTGCTTTTCAATCTTTAGTAAGTTCTTTTTTTTTTTTTTTTTGATTAATTATGTATTTAAATAGCATTTTTCATTTAAAATAATTTGTATTAAAAAAAAATTAATACCAATCTTTATGAAGGACTGAAGGGAAGAAATAAAGCAGTTGAGGTACTATGAAACCCTGTACATTTATTAATCAAAAACAAATTGTGACTTTTTATGACTCTTTTTTTTTATATATGAAACAATTCTTTTTTATAATATTTTTTTTTTATTTATTGACTTTATATGATATTATGAATTATAACATATAAAACAATTCTTTTGATTTCAAATCTAGGCAAAAATATAGATTGACATACTCTGCTGATTTCTAGAGCAAACTCACGTTGTTCTATCTTCTTTAAGGGCAAAAAATCATGTATGTAATTGTAAATGTAAAATTTTAAGTTAGACAATAAAGCAATCTCAAATTGTCATAAATTTTAAATAAAAGTATGTCAATATTGAAAGTGATTAGACATACATCTTTCTTTTTAGGAGGAAAAAATTGCCTGTGGCCTCTTGATATTTGAAATTTGCAGGATTTGCATTTAACATTGAAGTAAATGTTCTTGAGAAATTTCCAAAAATTGCTAAACTTAGATACCAATTTGCAACATTTTGGTCCAGTCCCCGTGTAACTGTAACTGGTCCAATATCTATATAACTGTATCCAGCCGTATGTAAATGTATGCCTTCCAGCAATTTTGAGAAATCAAAGGTACTGAAAATTTTTCGGCAGCTGGGGAAAAACTGTGCTAGACTGAACAGAGCATCTGTTTTGATGAGTTCGGAGTATAGCTCAGATTATTAAGGGATCATTTTGCAGGCTTACTCATTGGACACTATTTGTGTTCTCTTGTGTTTAACATTCTTAGTAGGTTGAAGTGAGACTGTTGAAAAGTGCTTCATGAGTACTTTTGTCTGAAGAGTTCAGAATTGTAAAGTATATTTGAAAAAATAAATTTCATCAAGCTACCATCAGTTCACTGTGCATTCAATTCGTTATAAACTTATATGTACATAACAATTTTTGGTGTTTAAATGCCAGTGACGAGTAATGTAGAGCGACTTTGCTGCATTCAAAGAAGAGATAAACCCAGGCCAAGAAAAGATGGAAGGGCCATCGGTTTTGTTAAAGAAGATAAGAAAATGAGCTGACAGCAGATGGAAGTGACCGTAAAGTCAGTTATAAAGATTGAAGCAGATCAACAGGAAATGCAGAGAAAATGTACTGCCATAATAGAAAACAAATTCCAGGCTTTGGAAAGCAGAATAGGCATGGTTGAAAAGAAAGTTAAAAAAATCAAAGAAATAATTGTTTCTGCTATCGAACAAATTGAAAAACGAGTTTGTGCTATAGCCAAGGATGTTGACAGCTTGAAGAAATTCTTAGCAACAGCTGGAAACGATTCTGGCAGCTTTAAATTCCTACATATGTTTTCTCAACCCCATCTAAAACCATCCATATATATTCGGAAGACTTCCTGCCAAGTATACGACTCAGTTCTCTATAGTAGCAGATGCAGATGGATGGAATTATGAAATAAAGGTCTGCCATCTTGCTGCTTTTCTGAGAGCAGATGCAGTGAATATCCTTCAAACTGTGCCTTTAAATCAAAAGCTAGATTTTAAAGCTCTGTCCTGCATTTTCCAGCAGTGCATTGGCGGCGAGAAGTGTTTAAAAGATTGTTGCCAGCTTCAGTTAAAATTTTATTAACAAAGGCCCATGGAAACATGCTTGGAACTCGCCGTAGATGTTGAAAGGTTGTGTTAGTTACATTCCAAGACTGCCTGACTGAAACAAGGGAAATCCTTGCATCCAGTGTTGCTTTGATGGAATCTGGGATCCTGAGATACAATATACTTGTGTATAGTGGATATGAAGGATATAAAGAGTGCTTCAGTGTTTGCCATGAAAGTCAAGGCAGCCCAGCAAGCAGCCATTAGATTCTGCCACCCAATCAGAGCTGCTCATGTCCAGGAGTCAGTGGATCAATTTGATTCAAATGACTGTTTGCCTAGATGATTTAAGCAGGCAAATCAATGCTTTCAGGTGGAATATGAGTGGAAAGAAACCAATCCTAAAGTTTTGGAACTGCAGTGGTGAAGGCCATGTACAAAGGAACTGCAGAAAACCCCAACACACAGAAGCTAAGATCATTTCCCTACAAGGAAACTGGAAACAAATTAGTGGCCATCACAGGGATCAAAGATTACCATACAATCAAAAGCCCTATTTTAAAGTGCGTCAGATATCTGGCGGGAGTGGGGGAGTAATGGACTCATCATGGCACATATAAATGGAGTACATCATGGCACATACAGAAGACGATGTTACCATCATCCATAAAGATCTGGCCCAATGAATGGAAGTTTGGATACCACCCTGCATTACCCTCAAGCACATTTGGACACTGCCAGCATTACCCTCGAGACTGTGTCCAGTGGAAAAATCAAGTGAAAATCTCGCAGAGGCTGGTGCTCAAGTCCAGGAACCAGTGGATCATGTGACTGCTCGTTTAGGTGATTTAAGCAGACAAGTCATTGCCTTGAGTCGGAAAAAGAGAGAGAAGAAACTGGCCCTAAAGTGCTGGAACTGTGGTGATGAAGGCCACATACAAAGGAACTGCAGAACAACCGAGGACACAGAAATTAAAAGCATACCCACTAAGGAGAAGGGAAACTAATTAGTAGCCATCTTGCAGGTTTGAGGTTGCCAAATGGGAACCCCATTTTAAAGTACTTCAGATTTCTGCAATCAGTGGTGTCAGTAATAGACTCCTCACCATACATACTGGCCAATGAATTAAAAATCTTTTGAGGTTTTCATTTGAATGCCTGTTAAGTATGAAATATGTAAATTGTTTTTATGAAGTGGTTTACACGTGGTTAGAATGCTAGTACAGTAGAATTCCAAAAATCTGCAAAGCTTGGGACTAGAGGTTGTGCGGATTTTAGGATTTTGCAGAGTACAGGACAGAAAAGATAAGGCATAATATTCTGACTAAAAGTGCAAAATAAATAAGGCGTATTAGATACATTTAATGAAATTATTAATTTATCAAGCAAAGCAGTAATAACAATTTTTAAAAAAACCAATTTTGGTCTAGAAAACATCTTGCGCAATATGCTGCAAAATAAGTAAAATATAAAAATTGTAGTAAGCTCGCCTAAAAGTTACCAAGAGCTGCTGCTCCAAAAGGTTTAACACGTTTTCAAAAAATTAATACACTAGAAAATCAAATCATTAGACATGTAAAACATTAATAAAACTAAAATAAAATTAAAAAACAGAAAAAGTTTAAAAGTAAGCGGAAAATGGTAAATTAGCCCAATTCGACTTCCAAACAGGCTTTTCAAGGGAAATTTCATTTATTTGAACGTCGAATCAAGCTAACCCCATTACGCGTTTCGCCGAAACAGACAATTGAAACTTTTTCGCTAAAAATTTTTTTAAAATTTAGACAAAGTGTCTTGGAAATTTTAATAGTCTCAATTCTCTGTTCCAATTTCCTGACGCGTCCGCACAGAATGACACATTAAGGTGTTAAAATATGTTAATCAAAACCTAAACTTCCTAAATCTAGACTAAAATTAAAATTAAAATCAAAAACGAAAATAAATAGCGATGAGCTATTAGTCCTAAAAATACAAAAACATACGGGCTGGGCCTGCAAGCTTAAAGATTAACAATTTAATTTTTAAATAATAGATTTTAGAAAACTGTAATGAAAACCTGTAATTAATATAAAATAAAACAAAAATTAAGAAGAGAACAAACTCAGTGGGTCTTGCTAAGACCAAGAAAAAGTTGTAACAAAAGAAACAAAAACTGACCTTTGGCGATGCAAAGCTGTCCCTCTTAAAACTTGTTGAAAAATGGCTGCTATACTTCTAGTGTCTTCATTTGGATGACGTACGTAGGGGGGAGCAAATTGCTGTGGGCGTTTAGCCAATGCGTTTGCAGAATTTGCACTTTTTGCGTTACCGTCAAGCAACGTGTTTACATTTTTCAACGTTGCAAGCAGTAAAATCGTGAGTGCGTTTATTATCTGTCATCATATTAAAAAGGGCTGAAATTAAAAATATTCTTAATTTATCCACAAAATATCCGGATTAAAAAAAGGCAGCATTAAACAGTCTCATGAAATGAAATAACAAAGCTCAGAAAATACAACAACGTTAATCATGAACTTGAACAGAGTTGAGTGAATCATCTGCTTTTTTACCTCAATGCAGATTAGAGGGGGGAAAAACTTATTTATTTTATTTTTAAACTTTTTTATATCAATAATTTTGTATTTCTGTTTTGACTCATTATTATTCGGTAATTATGACGTCATTTATTAGGTAAGTATTTTTTTCTTCGATATTTCATACTCAATGTTGCGGTTTCCTGGACTTATAAACTGAAGGTTTATATTCTGAGAGGCAACTCAGATTTCAGGATTTGGCGGATTTCAGGTCGGCGGATTTTCAGTATTTGACTGTATAAGTAAGGTGTAAGACTGATTTTCATGATGAATGACATAAAATGGGAAAAACAACAGATCTTTTACCATTTGGAAAAGGGCTTATTGTTGGTGCCCATTTAGCAGGGGCATCAATTTCGAAGACAGCAAATCTCACTGGGTGCTCAAAAGCAGGCATCTCAAAGGTTTTCAAAAGTTGGAATCTGAATACACAGTCCTTGTCTAGAAGATGTAACTGCAGTTCAAGCACAGTTTTCCACCAGAGTGGTTGGTGGCGTCTCTGACGAATTGTATGCCAGAACAGGGACTCTACTGTGCTTCAACTGACACAGATTCTCAACCAAAGCTCTTCCCAACAAATTTCAGAGGATAGAAATGCATAGTCGGGTGCCTGCAATAAAACCACTCATTTCTACCCAACATGCAAGAACTCTTTTGCAGTGGTGTCGGGAAAGACGACACAGGACATCTGAGGATTGCAAGCGGGTAATGTGGTCGGATGAATCACGCTACACCTTATTTTGCACTGAAGGATGACATCGAATTTGGCGAGAATCCTATGAAGCCTTGAATCCATCTTGCTTTACTCCCACTGTGCAAGGGTGTGGGGGGAAGTGGCATGATATGGGGCATGTTCTGGTGGCATGGAAGTGGTGGTGTTATGTTCCTCGAGGGTGAACTGCTATGAGATACCTAGACATACTGGCAGATCAAATGCACCCTGGTGGCAATGGATACTTCATTGATAATAATGAAACTATACATTGTGCCAGAAGTGTTCAAAATTAGTTTGCTGAACATCAGTCTGACTTAGAGCACATTCCCTAGCCACTGCATAGTCTGGATCTTAATGCCATGGAAAACATGTGGGATATGGTGGAAAGACACATCCGACAGTGCTCTTCTGTTCCATCTAATTTACAACATTTAAAAAGCTGCATAGCCAATGCATGGTATTCTGTAGATATTAATGCACTCCAGAAGCATGTAGACTTGATGCTCAAAGGAATCGGAGCAGGTATGTGTGCAAAAGGTGGTTCAAAAAGTACTGATCTTGGGTTTCTAATTCATTTGTCAGTGTGTATCAGTGGTGATCCTTGCAGTATGACTATCGATACAGGAACCATTGTTAGCATAATACAAAAAGACTTTCTCAACAACTGAAAGATAAACTCATATGGACACTGCCCTGCATTACCTTCCAGACTGTATCTAGGGGTAAAATCAACATTGGTGGAAAATTAAACGTTCATATCACATTCAGATGTGCCATCTACCATACCAAGACATATGTAGCAGATATTACAGACCCTTGCATACTCGGATTAGACTTTCTAAGGAAATGCAATTTTTTCTTGGACTTCGAAAATAATGAGCTGCATTCTGCCATTGAGGACATAACCCTATTCAGAATTAAAGATAAGGTTAAGTCTGCCCACCAAATAATTGCTTGGGATAATATCACAATGCCAGCAAGAATAGAATTTTTACTACCTGGACCCATAGCTGAAAACAGAAGTTTCTGGTATGGCATAATGAAATATTCTAAGGCCTGTAACAGCCTAAAAGAATACTAGTAGCCTCAGCACTCATTTACATGTCAAGGACAGACATCTTGGTGAGATTTGCTAGTGTAAATGCTACGGTGAAGTGTTTGCAGCATGTATTCCTGAGACCTGCATTAAACAAACCAGCAGTCCATCAATCACAATGTCGTCAAAAAGCCTAACATTGAATGATGAAAAGGCATTCCGATGGCAGGTCATACCTCCAAGATCACATAATCTGGATTATTTAAAGAACTATGCAGCTGTCCGACAGGAGACCACTTCATAGGTATGAAAGCTTGTCATAGATTTTGAGAGTACTTCTACTGCAATAATGTGAGGGCTGACATGCAAAAGTGGAGCTAATCTTGTGATGCCTTTACAGGTCAGAAAGGACTGAAAAAAGCTAAAACATTAGAATGTAGGAGCATATTTTTTGAATGCATTGCTTTCAACATTCTGGGACATCTGGGATGATCTGCTGATAACAACAAATATATCCTCATTGTCACTGATTGCTTTACAAAGTGGTCTAAACCGTATTCTAGCACTGCTCAAGAGGCTGTCACTGTAACAGGGGTAATAATACAGCATTAGATTTCAAGGTTTGGAGTGCTTTTTCAGTTAAAAAGGAGGGAATTTAGTCTAGTCTGTAATCAGAGAATTATGTAAGCTACTCAGCATAGACAAAACCCAAATGACACCTTTACATCCACATCAGACAGCAGGGCAAAAAGATTTAATAAAACCTTCCTTTATAACTTCTCATTGATAATTTCGAGAAACCACCAAGACTTGGACCGGAAGTTGCCTTCGTTGTTTACTGGCCCATTCTTACTGGTGCTATCCATGGGACCACCAGCTATTCCCCATCCCAGATGCCAGATCCAGTTGTTACTTTAATACTTTCATTTGCCTTGTAATCTGTTGTTTGGTCCTCCAGATGCACATTCAGGAATTCCAGGCATGGTTTGAAGTTTGATACACACTTTTGCTCAGGAGTGGTGGCAGAGAAGATGAAGACCCAATACAATATGAAAGCTACAGAATGTCAATTCAATGAAGGTGACAAGGTGTGGTTATGAAATCAGATTGAATGGAAAGGGCTTTCTATTAACCTACAGTCACTCTAGAATGGTCCTTACATAGTTCTAAGCAGGCTGAATGCCACTGTAGTTTCGATATGTTAGTCATCAAATTCTAAGCCTAAAATCATTCATCATGACAAACTAGCCCCTTACTGTGGGCATAGTATGTTGACCCTATAATGAACATAATGTAAACAAAATACTAAGACCATTGTCCTATGTATATAAATTTATAAATGTATGCATTCATTCATTGATTTGGTATTTCATTTATTGTACATTATTTATTAAAATTAATGTTTTAGTATGCATTTAGTGTTCAGTTATTGATTTTCCTTAATTTTATATATGGCTTCCTGTACAGAGATTGCTTTCCTTCAGACATGCATTCCTTGGGAAGGTGCAATGTTCCAAATTTTGTATATATGTTATTAATTTTAGGGAAATTGTATGTAAATCATAGAATTTCTTCTATACTGTAACATAAGAGGTCTCAGGATGTGAAGCATCACCAGAAAAATAAGGTTACATGGGTAAGTTCATTTAACAATTGACAAGATAACACCAGTTTGTGATTTATCTTTGTTGCCAAACTTAGCAGCCATTTTGCAAAATTTTGTTCTGAACCCTTTGTAATTGGCCCAGTTTATATGTTATAAGTTACTGTATCCAGGCCTGTACTACTGAATTGTGTATGCGTATGCCTTCGAGCAAGACTGGACAGAGCATCAGTTTGGTACTAAGAGATCACGATGCAAACTTACGCATTTGAGGCTTTGTGTTCAATGTTCTTAGTAGTTTGAAGTGATAACTACTTATTGTGTTGTACCATACTGAGAAGAGTTGTGTGAGTACTTTTGTGTCAAGAGTTCCAGAAATGTAAATTGTTTTTGGAAAAACAACTTTCGTCAAGCTATCATCGGCTCTGTGCACAGTCAATCCATTATGAACAAATATGCACATAACAAAACTTTCCTGAATTTCCTTCAGGGTAAAAAAAAATATGCTTGCAGTTAAGCACATCAACTGAAGATTAATAAAGCAAATAAAAATATTCCTGAAAAAGATGTAAAAATATTTTGAGTATTAATGCTGCTCTTATGGTATATTCATAAAATATGGTTTATGAAAATTTTCTGACTCTAATGTGAAAAGAAGATTAAAGCCTAGGGAAAATTCTGTTTTTTTCTCCTTCCTGTCTTTTGCAGATTTACGCAAAAAATGTGTTGTTAGAAATGTGGTTGCACAAAAAATGTGGTTGCAGTAGTTGAATGAGGCTGTCAGAGAGTGTTATTGTACTCTGTATAAAAGATATGAACCTCAGATATCATAAGCTGTAGTGCACTGGTTTTAAAGTATAATTTGACCGACCATTCACCGTGATGTCTCATTTTGAGACATTAGAGTAGGGGAGTTTTGGTTCTTGCTTGTGATCTAAAGATATAAGCTCAGACTTCAAAATTTTTGAAATTTCACATACCAACAGCTGTCAAAAAGAGCGAGAGCCAACGAATCAGAAGTTAAGATCATAGTGATAGTTTTCTTGACCAATGTTAGCATTGTCTGCCATGAATTTGTGCCTTTAGGTCCACTGCCAGTGCTACATACTATGTGCAGGTACTTATTTAGTCAAAAGAGTCAGAAGAAAATAACTGTAGGAATAGACGGTAGATGGCATTTGCAAGATGGCTGCTAATTGTTGTCATGTCAGTTAACTTACCCTTTATGTCCTGGCTGCTCTTTTTATCAAGATAGTTCTTTTGGTCTACATATTCATAAAATTCAAGTTAAAATGGCACAACCACTAGTTTATGAGAGATCCTGTAAGAGGTAATTTCAGAGTATAGTCAGGAGTACCAGAATAAATGTTCTAGCACTATTTGCATAATGTTACTTTAAAGCTGACTGAATATTAAATTTTCACATTTCAAATAAAACTGCCCAATAAATATTTTCCATGAACTTTTAAATGTAGAAGTATTCTTCTGACTTACATTTTTATTTGTGCTGTTGTCTGCTTACACTGTTGCATTCATGTCAGGGTCTATTTCAAAGAAAATATATGAACATTTCTTGGATATTCAGCATTTCAAAATTGTATGTTTTTTGATTGGAAGTTAAAGACTAATAATTATTATATGAATTTAAAGTGTGTTTTTTTCCTCGTGTGGTGTAATGTCAGTGTATAAAATTACTGAAAATAAGTGAATGTTGATTGTAATTAATTGTAGAATTTTTTACTCTTCATGACATTCCTTCATGGCATACATATGATATATGCTCAACTTCACGGAATACATTCATTTGGCCTTCCAGTGGCCAGGTGGGGTAAAATACCTGAGTATTGATGTTTTTATCTGAGTTTAAATACCAGTGAATGAGTTGGCTGAATAGGTATCTTCATGGTTTTCCCCATGCATATTGTGAATACAAATCAGTTTGCTTGATTCTTCTCATTATTGATATGCTCTGCCATAATCAGATAATTTTATCTAAACATTCAGTGACATGCTATTGTTCCGTCTATACATAAATATGCTTAGTAATAAAATTATGTATGATTGTAGGCTAGTTTTTATAGACTTTATATTATTGAAAATCCTTTCAGTCAAAATTGGGATGTTGCTTAAGATGATGGCCCTTGTGGCTTTGCCTGCAACTAAATAATCCCTACCAGGTTTATGAGATATTATGCTAGTGAAAACAAATGTAACAATGTTTTGCAGTTTATATCGTACTTTTGAAAGTTGTTAAACAATAATAATTAATAAATATAATAATTATAAATTAAACAATAATAATTAAAAATAAACTAATTAGAAATAAAATTCATCTCATATATAAACTTTTACTGAAACATTATTTTTACAGGATGGGATTGATTTGACTCTTTTAACTAAGCGCTTGCTACCTGAAAATATAGTTAAAAAAGTAAGTTATGTTCTAAATATGATAAATTACATTAATAAAGAAGATATAATTTCTGAAATGAAAATACAGTATTTTTATTTGATATGTGAAATTTTATGTAAAAAAGGATTACATATTTATTAAACTTGTTATGTAAATTACTTTTATATTGAGTTTAATGATTGCTTTGCGAGTAAAACAATCTATACATTAAAGTGAATTAAAAGCTAGTATTGTTGAATGTATGCAGAATACATAGGATTACTTATTACCTGTATACATTGTTGGCTAATCCACTATTGCATATGTAAAGTACTAGACATTTAGAGAAACTTCTGAAAGTTTTTATATTTCATTTGTGAGTTTTAATACAGTCTAATAGGTAAAACTCATGCCATGGGTCATAATATTTCAGAGGTTGTTTCAAAATATTCTAAGATTGCTATAAATCAACATCAATCACTATAAAAATGTAACTTTTAATATGTACAATATTTACAGATCATTAATCAAAACACGGTGGTTCAGTTGACAAGCAAATCTATGTGCTTTCGCAATCGAAATCTTTCAAATAGGAAGCGAAGTGTTCCTAATCAAATAGTGTGCGAAGCATCAAAACATCCATCTCTCTAGCTGCCAGTGGAGATTCTATCAAAATTCAGAACAAAATAATTTCCACAGAGGCCTCATGCAAATTCAAATTTAATGATGAAGTCCTTAACAAACGTCAGCTTGAAGATTGTAGAACATTTGCTACTCACTCATAATTCCCTGGTTAGTGCACAATACAACTATGCAGGTTACTTGGGCTTAGAAATTTAATCAATGAACACATGATGATTGGAAACAAGTAATGTGGTCTGAGCAGCTATGTTTTTACTATTTTGGGCAGATGAGAAGATTTATGTGTGGAGAAAACCCCCATGATTGTGTGGATCGTACATGTCTTCAGAAGCCGTTGTGGTAGCTTTATAGTGATATGGGGCTTGTTTAGCTGTCATTCAATAGAATCCTTAATAAAGGCCTCTGGCAAGCGAATGCATTTAGCAGCATAACATTATAATTAGACAAGCACTTACCCAAGTTATTCTTATCTCTTTATATTCATTTAATTGTTCAATATTTATTCCTGTATCCATTTTTTGTTTGTTTATTGTTGTTCCCGTTCCTGATGGCATTATGTAGATTCTCCAGCACTTCTATTTTTAGAAATTGACCCCTGGCTGTCATAGTAGAACAAGCATAGAACTTTGCACATACAAGTGGGAAAAAAAAAAAACAGACTTTCAGTAACATAAGCAAATTAAAATATCTATAGGCATGTATAAAGATAATAAAGTTAATAGGTAATAATAGCAATAATAAAAGCAATGAAATGAATAAATTGTGTGCATGCCTTCCGAAAAGAAGAGGTGCCTTTAGATGCCTTGATGAATCTGCTGATTCCATAAGTACGTTAAATTATGTGAATTGGTAAACTGATATAAGAATAGAAAATGTACGCACAATTTTATTGCTTATATTATTTATTGATATTTTTTATTTTTTAGAATGACCTTATAAATTGCTGTTAAAAAATCATGCGATTGCCATATAAAGAAAGTAGCTATACATCAGTTAATTTCACTAAGAATGCACAGTCACTAGTTACAAAAAGCTAGTACACAGTGGGCACAGTGATAAAAGTTTTTTTTTTTTTTTTTTATTCCCAGATAGAATGTGTACCAAAAATGTGAAATCAGTTACCTATATTGTGAGACTGTAGTACAGTGGCCTTCTTTAAACAAATATGAGACAAAATCATCGCATGAGTCTTATACACTCGCTTCCAAAAGTTAAGCACTTAGAGGAAAATGCTAATTTCCGGAAGCCAATCAGAATTGAAGAAGATGCAATTCGCTGCAGAGGTAGATGGAAGTATGCAAATATGTTAGGTTGTCAATTGCGCTTTCATGTCAAGAAATATGCAAAAAAAGGCAGTCTTATAAGAAGCCAGCTTTATGAAGGTTTACAGAAGTTGATTTTAAGTGCTGATAGAAGGTGTTTAAAACTATAGTACAATTTGTTTTCAAGACACCCGTGTTTCTATGACTTCCAGAAGACTAATGGAAGATTCTGAGCTCTAGCGTGCTGTGGGGCACATTGAAGCAGGGCAATCGATCACAGATGTTGCTCTTTTCTTCGGCATTCATCATTCTGTAATTTCATGTTTATGGAAACAATTTCAAACCATGCAGACAGTTGTCTGAAGGCCCGTAGCTGTTCGTTCAAGGGTTACAACCCCCACGGAAGATTGATATATTGCTATTGCAGCCAAGTGAAATCGCAGAGCTACCTCCACACGTGGCATCTATGGTTACAATGTCCATTGGTAAGGCGATATCTGCAGCTACTGTATGCTGAAGATTACATATGAAAAGGACTGTACATGCCCGGGTACCTTGAGTTTGTGTTTCTCATTTATTTGTCCAGTCAAGAGGGGCACGATTACAGTGGTGCCGGGAACATGTCAGTTCGGAATGTGTCTGACTTGGGGCAATCTCATGTTTACTGATGAGTCAAGATTTGCTCTGGAGCCAGAATGACAAGGGTATAAGGATATGGGGTGAACAATGAACACACAATCAGTCCCAAAACATCACCGAACATCACGCGTTCCGAGGCGGAAGCATTATGGTGAGGGCTAGGATTTCATTAGGATACCTCACCGACCTGCACGTCTTTAAACGGGGTTCTTTGATGGCTGTCCGGTATTGAGATGAAGTCCTAGAACCCATTTATCGAATTTGAAAGTAATCAAATTTCATACTGATTCGAATCTTCACAAAATTTTATTAAATGTATTTAACCTGTGAAATATTTAAGAGAGGTTGAAAATAAATTTTTGTATAAATTTATGGTATGTATAAATACCTGTAGTATTTATAACTTAAGTGAAATTAAAAGCTTGAGTTCCTGATTTTGCCAATATGGGTATTAACTGTAATGATGTTCTATTTTATTAGGTTTTAAGATATGTCAATAATTTATTGATATAATTTTTTACTGATTATAGTTTGATATGCATTACAGTAAAATCTGCATAAATCAAGCAAAACTGAATTATGATTTTAGGTTGTAAATTATTTGCCAATCTTATCTGGAAAAATTTCCAATGGAGACCTTAAATCTGGTAAATTAAAATTTTTTATTACGTGCATCTGATTATTTTAGATGCTATACAATATTTAACAGTATATTATCAGTCAAATATTACAGAATGCTTTCGAATATATGTAATTTTGACTTCCATTCAATAATAAAATTTTTCAAAAGTTTGGTATTTCCTTTATGACAGTTCAAGGTATGCTCCTCCTAATGGAGTCCATTTTACTGCATCCCCATGAAAGGTTTATAAATCATTAGGTTAGTTTATTCCTCTTTATTTTTTTAGTTATTGATTAATAAACTCGATTTAAAAGCGAGCAATGGCAACACTCTAATGGGGAGGAATCTTTTTATCTCCAGCTTGCGAACTGTGTATCGAAAATTTTTTAGACATGCTGTTTTTAAAATTATTTTGCGGCATTGCTGTTAAACTAAATTTTATGGTTTAAGTGCAAAGAACATGATATTTAATAAATAAAGGTAACACACGAAACGTTAAAAAAAAGCCCCTTTGGACATAATTTAAAATCTGAAACCTTTTAGAGATTTTTGTATCTTTATTATTTACTTATTTATTTAGCACTTCTAAGTATACTATCCAATGCACTTTATTGTTTATGCACTGAAAAATGCTATACATTTCTCTAACTTGCTACTGAGAACTGGTTGAGAAATTTTCAACACATTAGTTAGGCATTTAGAATTACAGCAAATATCAAGATATTAAACCTTATCTTTTATTATACAATATAGGAGGATGAAGTTGCTTGGAATTGGGATACATTATTTGCTGATGTTTCATCTCAAGTCAATGCTGTAATGTCAGAAGACCTTAATGAACTGTCAGTTTCTGATAAAGCTGGAGATAGTGTTGAAAAAATGTGAAACAGTTTGCTCTAAGAGGACTGTGAAAAGTCTTATTGTGTTCCTAATGCAAAGAGAAAATTGTTTCTGTTAGTTTGTATTTCCATTTCACTGTAATTTTATTTCCATTTCATTCTGTCTTAAGAATTTGTTTTCATTTCCTGGTAATTTTCATTTCATGTTTGTTTTTATGTCATTGTTCAAAATGTTTAACATCAGAATAAATGCCGAGTGAAATTCACTGAAATTTGTATTATTTTGTAAACCATTATTGAATATACTTTAAATCTTTATATGAATATTTTGCTCTTTTAGTAACTTCATCTCTCTTCCCTGATGTCTGCTCAGTTATTTTAACAGAGAATATAACATTTTGATTTTAAAATTGCAGCTTTTAAATAATTGGACTTTCGGTATCTATTTTCTGTTAAACATCTTATTTTATAAATTTATTATATCGTTTTCACCAAAGTCTATATGTATAGTATAATTATTGTTTTTTTATGCAAACTGTGATTATTTTCTGTTGTATTACTTAAGAAGCACAATTTTTTAAAAATAGTTTGAACAAACATATAAATACCTGAGGTAATAATAACTTGTGCCTTATTGTTGGGTTGAGTTCACATAGAAATGTTGACTGTGTGCTTATTGTTAAAGAAGTACTTAATTTTGTTTAGTGAAGTTTTTGATAATTTTTATTTTTGAAAGAATTTCTTCTGTGATACACTGTATGTGACACACTGTTTCAGTTTTTGAAACTGTCAATGCATGTGAGTATATAAAAAATATTTATAAACCATGTAAGTGCCTTTTTTAAGTTGTCTTATCTTTTAATAAAAGATGATGCAGTGTTATTGTGTATAAGTTTTTTAAGACTGTCACAGTATTTTGATTACTGTACACTTCCTCTAAATGGCTGCTAACAATTTATGTTGTGCAAAATTGCAATTTTATACCATTCGCACATGCAAAACTTAACCTGGTCTACTGTAAAAGTAAGATCTTATGGAATTCTGCACTAGAGGACATAAATTTCATTTCTGTTAGTACAGTACACTCCCGATTATCAGTGGAATTGGGTGGCACGGCCGCCGCGGATAACAGAAATCTCAGATAATCTGAAAAAAGCTAAAAACGGGTATTGCAAAAGAGAAAACAGTCATTCCAACTTTGAAAAATCGTTTTATGTACAATAAACAGGGTTGCCACGCTACCAGAAAAACCGGAAAAAGTCGGGGAATTCGAAAATTGACCAAGAAATTCAGGGAATTTAAGTGTTTTAGTCAAAATCTGGAAAAGTTAGGGAATTTCATACAACGATCCCGCCAAAAAAGGCGAGTTTTGCGCCGACGTCGGAAGAGATCACTTTTTTGGCGAGTTGTGTATCACATGAGTGTCATTCGGGCAGCTGGCATAGAGCCAATTTTCGCAGCTCCAATTTGATTGTCTTTTTAGAAAGGCAAGCAAGTTTCCCGCAACTTTTGGTTTCCAGTAACCTCGAGAATCGCATGTGCAGTGCATGAACTAAAGAAAGTCCGTTTTTAAAATTATTGCGAAAAATCCAAGAAAAAACGTTTCATCTTGGATTTTTCGCAATAATTTAAAAACGGATTTTCATAGTTTTCTTTTTTTGTCAAAGAACGTTTCTTCTTAACATCGCGTCAATTTCATGGCGCGGGGGGAAATTCTGGCCGTTCCGGGAAATCCCTTGTCAAATTTTCCCTCCACTTTTTACATAGACGTTCTTTGGTCAGAATAATCTCCATGTATGGTACAGCGGGATTTGGCGACATGATGATGAGCAGTAAACGGGTCATTTGTTCTTGGCGACAATTTTCAAAATCATGCGAAGGCCGTATCGTATACTAGGATTTTACCGCAAAATCTTTTTTTTTTTTCTTTTCTTTTTAATAAATATTTGTCATTTTGGCAGTAAAATAAAAAAAAATAATTAATCATCTAGGATAACCATATAAAACTATATTCGCTAAAATATCGTTGATTATTCTAATTAAATTTTTAAGTAATTATCTTTATGTTTATTCATATCATTTAATGTTGCTTCTCCCTCTAAATTTATTTATCATTAGTAAATAATATTTCCAAATTTCAGGAAATTTTCTCTGGCATAATCCTGAAATTAATTCTAGCAGTATGATGACATCACGAAATTTAATGCACATATTTTTTCCTTATGTATGCTGCGAAATAAATATAAAATACCTCAATTTAGTAAAAAAATATCATTAAATAGATTTCTTTCTTTCGTTTAGCTGCAGAATGTCTGCAAAAAAAGCCTTATTTTATTCCAGATTGGGCAGATTCAAATTTCAATCTTCAGTGGAGAAAACAACTCCTATTATAATTATATTTGTGTTTTCAAGTGTTAAGGTGCCTTTGAAAAACACCTCACACAAATTAAATTTACCTAAAATCTAATCTAACTTTTAGCATTGCGTTGTGATTATAAGAACCGGATTAGCCTCGTGTTGAACTGGGAATGATCATGAGTAATAATTAAATAAAAACAGTGTTCTCCAATGTATATCCGTAAATTTTATTAAGTTTTTAAGCGGAAAAGTAAACAAAAATCAAAAAAGTATACCAAGAATAATTAAGAATAAATGTCCTCTGGGATTTATTGAATAATTAAGTGAATTTGCTACACAGTACAAGTAATACCATAATTAATTTACCTCTTAGCACAGCCAACGTACATTACGTGGATAGACTGGAATTTTCTCGAAACATACCTGGAAAACCTGGAAAAGTCAGGGAATTTCATTCTCCTCTTTGAGTGGCAACCCTGAATAAAACATAAAATAACCAGCAGGAAATGTTTAACTAACGCTTAGTATTTTAGTATATCACTCAAAACTAAACTAAAATGCATTTTGTTAATGAAAACAGAAAAGTGCTTTGTGCTTACGAGAGGCGTCAAGGATACACGAAAAATTACATATGTACTGTTTTAATACTGTATGTATTATGTAATTACAAAAGCATAACTGTAAAACTACACCTTTTTGGAGAAATCAGTCATATGTGTTTGCTTCTTGCTTTTGGAAGCATTTTCACTTGATCCGAGATTGCATTTTTCATAGCATCAAGTTTCTCGGCTAACTCCGCATCGTCTTGTTCTTCCAAATAGCTCCGCAGTCCTGTCGACTTATTGCAAAGCCGCTTTGTGAGTCTTCTGCATCTGCACAGTGGGCTCGTCTCCGCCTTTACACTTTGCTGTCCTTCATTATCGGTCTCTCCCTTTGCTTTCTTCACAATTTCGTCATCTGTCGTTCGAAGCCAGGTGCGTTGACGTCATACTCCAATCACTCGTTAATGCTTTCAGCATCGACGTTCTCACCACCTGGAACTGTTTTCACCATATCGGCAAGAGTCACCATGGGCATGTCTACATCTTCATTCACTACTTCACAACTCATAAGGGTTAGGTTGTTGTTGGCTTCAACATTAGGCATGAGTTTTCTCAATGATTTTATGAGGGTTGATGGTTTCACTGAGTCCCATGCAGATGCAATATCATAGATGCTATCCAAGATTGTGTAGTGTTTCTAAAACTCTTTCAGATCAAAACCTTCTTCAATTTTGGTCATTAGCAGCTTGGTTCGGTATGTTCTCTTCATTGTTGCAATGACTCCTTGGTCCATGGGTTGGGATTAGCGCAGTAACGTTTGGGGGGAAAACTTTGAAAAAATTTGTCCATCAGAAGACTTTAGCACGCTTGTTGGGTGAGAAGGTGCGTTGTCAATCAATAGCACAGCTTTTTTCAGCAGGTTTTTCGATTAAAGATGTTTATGCACTTGAAGAACAAAAATTTTTGGAACCATTCTTGGAAAGTGTTTCGGTTCATCCATCCTTTTTTTTTTTTTTTTTGTTAAAGTAATCAACAGGCAAATTTTCTATCCTTGTGCCTTTGAAAGATCTTGGTTTTTTTTACTTTCCAATGACGACAAGTCTAAGTTTATGTCCACCGGTAGCATTACTACAAGACATGATAGTGATCCTTTCCTTTGCTGCTTTTATGACCTGCCGCTTTACTTTCGCTTTCAGAATGCTAAAGTGCGAGTAGGAAGATATTTCCGCAAAAGTCCCGATTCGTCGGTATTGTAAATTTGTTCAGAAAGATAGCTCTTCTTTTAAAACAAATGCTTCAAATTCATAGGTGGAAATCGTATCGGCTGCTTGTTGTCTCCCCACTAAGTTTTCTTGAATTCCAAGATTTTCTGAATCCAGATTAAGACGAGAGAGGGCGGTAGAGTGGACACTGCAAGGGTGAGTAAGAAATCAATTACTCATCAGTGGGGATGGTTCTGAGAAGGCCTGGGATATTTTTGCTATAAATAAGCACAATGTTAGCAAATGTAACGTTTCACTTAGTTTTGTGAACATTTTTATTTTCTTTGCTTTATGCTTGTAAAAAAAATCTTTGTGTGGCAGGCGTGGATAATCAGCCCGCGGATAATCGGGAATCTACTGTATGTGTAAATGTAGATTTTGAAATTACTGGTGCTGATTCCCTAAATTTCTTGTTGAGATCTTGTGATTTGGTGAAGCTGACATGATAATTTGTGCAGCAGTATAGTTACTAAAAATATATATATATATATATTGTTGCAATTTTCATACCCTTTATTTATTTTTTTGTTAGAATGCCAACAAATGCTTTTATTTGCATGATTTTGAGGAGACAAATGTGATATGAATAGCCTTACCCCTCAAAAAGAATGTTGTGTATTGCATATGTTATTTCTGAGCATCTAACTATCATGTATCCAGTGTGGCCCACAAGTGGCCAAATGACTAAAATGGCTGAACACTGGTAGTTATTAATCTGTATTCAAATCCCCATAAATGGGCTGATTGCATGGGCGTTTTTATTAAATGCCATGCAGTTTCCCTAAGAAAGTTCTTTAAAAAGACACCGCTTTTAAGCAGATGGCTCTCATATGCTTTACCTTGATCAGCTGAGCATCCAAAATTTAGACTTGTGACTATTAACTGTGCTGCAGTTTTTTAGCTATTTAGATCATAAATATTTCAGTTAACATAACAGTACATAAAGCAGCAACCTTGTGTTTGGCATTGATTTTAGTCAAGACTATTGATTTAGATAGAAAATTTAGAAGAAGTGTTATTTGCTCTGAGCACTGCAAATAGAGTTCAATATATGTGTGCAACTATATTTCCAATTTAAAGTAAGTTCACTAAAAAGAAAAGGCTGAAGAAATTTGAAATTCACAAGATAGATAAATTGGTCATATGCTAATGATCAGAAACTTGTAACAGAATATTCAAATCATCTCCTTTAATTCAGTATGGAATATGACTGTTACGCTGAGCAGTATACATGCTTTTATGCTTTGTCATGTTATCAGTAAGGTTATTAATTATTGTCTGGGATATGTGTTACCTTGCAACAAACACTGAACATATAAAATTTTTAAACATTATAACTTGGATATTTATTTATTTGGGAAATATATTTTAAATGCTATGTTTACTGTGAGCATTTTAAAAGAGTTAAAGTAAATTACCTAAAAGAATTACTCTGGTCAACATTCAAATTGTTATAGGATTCATTATGTAAATTATTTCTATAACTTCTTGATCTTGTGAATTTGAAACTCATGGGATCAATAAACAACTTTCTTATACGTAAATTATCAAGTATTTGTAACAAAATATTCAAATCATCTGAATTTATTCAGTATGGAATATGACTGTCGGGGTTTGAAATGCATACCTTTGTATGCAAATATTAAAATCATTAACAATTGTCTGAGGAATATTTTCCTATGCTGCAAACACATAGACATATGCAACAAGATTTGCACTT